ATTTGGCTTCGGCAATTTCTTTATTTTCCCAGGTTAACGACCTGTCATACCTCTACACACTTTACAGGAAAAGGAGCTACCTGTATTACGGTATTCAATTCGTTGTAGGCTTGATTTCCGCTGTTCTTTCGGGTGCGGTCTTGTGAGCTCATTGCCGCAACAGCGGCTCATTCTCTCGTGGCATGCGGCTGATCATCGAGCATAGATTCGCTTGGACCACCCTCGTACCCAGCGTCTTCGTTCCCCTTGACCAGCGATCGCCTTGACATGAAAAATTAACTTGTTATATTCTTGCTTGTCCGCTTTGCCGGGTTCACGCGGTTAGCCTAGGAGTTACATGGCAAATTTCCATATAACCAGAAATCCTAGACAATCAAAGTCTTCAACCACAGGCACATAAATTTCAGTTTTCTCTTTTACAAGGTAATACCATATTTTAATGGTGGCATAGTCTAAAGGAAGTGTTTGAGACTTAAAAGGCAGCCTTTGAAGCCTATAAACCTCCAAGTAGTCCCTCTCTTCTCAATAACTGGTTATTCTTTTATGTTTACTTTCTCTCAGGCTTGTCTTTGATTTTCTACTTCTTGTCCTATTGGTTCTGTAAGCCAACCATTGAAGAAGAAGAGGAAAAACATCGACTTGAACAGCTGCCAAACAAAGAAGCAGCAGAGAATGATGACAATGCCAACGGAATGGGTGAATCATCTATATAAACAGCCAAATACAATATCCAAAAATCATTCATGAAAAAAAACCTTTTTGAGAGGCTAAAACGCCATATTTTTTTATTCATTGTATGTTTTCTTTACAATTGAAGGCATCTACGCTTTCTTTCGTTTTAAAAGTAGGTAGGTATTAGGAAAGTTCGCTTATTTTACATGTTTTTCAGAGTCTACGCCGATATTTTATTATGCTTTATTCAGCGGAGCAAGTTAAATGAGAGGCATATAGCTTACCCCCGGGAGTGAAAGATAAGCGCGCGCGTCCACACTAATGCGTTTTCGATTGAAAACACATACATTTCGATGCGTTGAGCCGGGCCCCCCAACACTAAAACGCTGATCGTTTTCATCGAAAGCGCATCGATTTGAATACGTTCATGAAAGTGGATCAAAACAGAAACGCGTATACATATCGCATAAGTGAAGACGGTCGAAAACGCATCAAAATGAAAACGACGACTTAAAAAATCGCAGGCGCGTGTGTTCAACTTACGTCACAACGCGTAATTATCGTTTTTGAACGCTTTAGTGTGGAGAGTCGAAAACGCTTCAAAGTAGTAGTGTGGATCGAATAGATCCATGTGTGGACAGGGCCTGAGTATGAAAGAGAAACACGAGCAGCCTTTCACGATTATGAACGCCGCATTCATTGCTTTTCGTACTAAGCACTGAAAAAAGTAATTCCGTTATTTAACCTCAGCAGTATTTATAGCACGTATGCTAGTGGGACCGAGCAAATGCCTGAAACAAATAATTCAAATTGAACTTAACAAGGTTAAGAATCCCAACTCGCCAGAGGCAAACCAGCTGGCTATTTACAAGCTTGGTCGAGGATTTGAACTCGGGACGTACCGTCTAGTGGTCAGGGCTGGACTTGATCTCGGCGCCTCCGAATTGAAAGTCCAGCGCTCTAACCGCTCAGCTACGTGCACGCTGCCTCCATAGAGCTTCTGAATTAAAAGTGGTTATCAATTTTGGATTCTATGTTTAAATTAATAAATAAATAATTCCGTTATTTACCCTCGGCAGTATTTTAGCACTAATGTTAACGGAACCGAGGAAATGTCTGAAACAATATTATCGAAAGCAATCATGATGGGGTTAAGAATCCCAACTGGCCAGAGGAATTCGAAAACCAGCTAGCTGTTTAAAAGCGTCAGTGAAGCGTGGTCGAGGATTTGAACTTGAGACTACAATTCCATGAACAAATCCAGCTGGCGGTAAATTTGTGAAATATTCAATGCTGAACTTTTTTATAACAGATATTTATCTTTGATAATAAAGAAATAATATTGATTTAAAGTAAACCACCAACGTCGACATGCAAAGCAAGAGGTGCTGAACTTGATAATATGTTCTCTTCATTCTTGCTAAACATGTTTAACTGACCCTGAAGATAAACTGTGTATTTATTTTGTTATAGCTCAATTTTATCTTTTTTAAAACTTTCTTTATACAGTACTTGTACTCACCCTTCATACATTGTTATACCCAAAGCTTTTATAAAAAAATAAAAATTGATCCACGGCATGTGCATGGCAGGCAATCGGTATTTGTGTTATAGAACGCAGGGAACCTGCAGGCGTTGCGGGGAGGGTCGCGGGAATCCCTCTCGAATCGGGAACATAATAATAAACAATTATTGGATGAGGTTTTTGTGATAACCTGAGTAATCAAGGTCGAGGTAAGTGTTATCAGCTGAGCCGAAAACCGAGGCTGATAACACTTACCGAGACCTTGACAAAATGGGATGTCACAAAAACCGAATCTAATAATTGTTTTATTATACATTGTTTTGAAGAAAATAACGACAAACGTACAGTAGCAAAGGATCCTGAAATGATATTGTTATTGGAGATCATGCATTGCGAGCGCAACCTGCAGATTGGTCAGTTATCTGCTACTAATCTGAAGGTTGCCCTGATTTCCAAAATTAACTGTAGGCTCTTAGCCAATGACAAGACAGGTAATGAGTACAATGTATAATAATACAAATAATGTAAGCGTTAAGACCTTTTTACCGATACGGCGGCCATATTGAATTAATTAGATTTAAGGAGTATTGCAGGATTCCCAGGGGGATGAGCACGACCCGATATACTCACTCAGTATATGTAAGCGCGCTTTTTGGGCCAACTTTTCTTTAAGTTTTCATTGAAAAAGATTGCAATGGGAAGAAAAGATCGTTGTACCGTGTTTGCATGTAATAATGAACGCCTTTTTCACGAGAAGTATAAAGTGAAGTTCTCATTTTGCCCGAAAAGCGCGCATAAATACAGAACAACTGCCACCTGGGCATCCCATAATACTCCTTAAATCTAATGATTTCAATATGGCCGCCGTATGGGTAGAAAGGTCTATTGAAAATTTTGACTACCGAGAAATCGCGTACCCCCGGGGTGTACTCCTCTTTAAAAGTGACGGGGGTGTTCGTCGGAACATTTCGAGAACACCCCCAAAAAGGTACCAGAAACTTGTTTCATGGGCGTGTCGGACAGCAAATTGGATCAATTTTTGCCTGTGGTGCAGGTTAAGCAGTCGACCAGAAATAGAAGCAAACCTCGTCCCCATGGCTTTCGCTTAAAAAAAAATGGGTGTTCTATGGATGAGATTGCAGCAAACCCGTGCTTTCGACAACATGCGAATCATTCTTGGCCACTCGTACTAATGCGTAGCGCGGGCGATGAGGGAGGGTAGATACTATTACTAGTAAAAGATTTTAAACAGTGGACAGGTAATGTTTGGACACCCATCAAATTAAGAAAAAATACGTTGATCCGCTACTGGGCCCGAGTTGAATCAGATTCTGGGTATATATAGGCCAAACTCCTACGTGTAAAACATCACTCAAATGCAGGTTCTACATTATTACGGATTATTATAAAAGCGATTTGGAGAATTGTGGTTACCTCTGAAAAAATCCGGGCTACGCCTCTGACGGTTTCAGTCTGTAAACTTGAAATCCTTTCCCGGCACATCGTAGGCAATTCAGCGTCGAATTTGACAACTAAATAAAATGAGACAAACAGTTCACTGTGCGCCATCCCCACTATCCAAACCCCGGCCTGGAAAAGGCTACCCGTAACTTCAGCCACCCGGTTCATATTACCACCTTTCCAGGACATATTATCACTCACCAACCCTTTATTACGCTTTCCTTTTTTAGCAGTCAGTTAGAGTAACCCGCACAAAATGCTTTATTTTATCTGCAGTGTTTTAAAGCGTAAGACAGGTGTGGAACTTGAGAAACGGACAACCGCAGAAGTCTTCTTTATATCTTTAACGCCTCGTAGGGTTAGGAGCAGACAAATTTTAACAAAATTGGGAGAGTGAGAAAAGCAATTCAGACAGAATGCAATGAGTTTGAGTTGAGTGTAGTTACTGAGGATTCCGAATCCGTTTCAGGATTCACGTAAAGGAACCAGAAACGCTGTTGTTAGATTCCATTGCCCGGATTTAGATTCTGCAAAAGAATAGCATCCATTGCCATAGAAAACACATATCTGCCGATGGTAACTGGTCAAGTCACCCAAAAGTCATCTCACCCGAAGTTTTCGCCCAAATACCGGATAGATACGCAGTCACGAATCATATAAAGCGCCTTAAAAATTTGTAAAGACAGTGACTGCATAGGTTAGCAGCTTCAGACGACATAAATCGAGCATTGCTTGGGTGACTTAAGCATAAACCCAGCCGATACGTGAGTAGCTATGGAGGCAGCCTTTTTTCAGCTTTTTCTTATGCGTGTCCACACTAAGAGGATGGATCTCGTTTTGAATAGCATCGTGTTTTTATCGTCTGAGTGCGGACACAAGATTATAATGTCAAGTAGACTGAAATCAATCAGATAAGGCCCCGACGACACGAATCGGCTGAAACTGATTACGAAAAATAATATCCGGGTTTCAACCGTCCACAAAAATTCGCAAATCAGTTGGATCCAAAAAATTACGAGCAGAGCGGTATCAAAAAGATACGGTTTCGGTGAGTGGCCGATTCGTGTAAAAAGGAATATGCGGTTACAAAAATATTCGGATTCGTGTGGACGGTCGAGGCCTAAACGAACAACCTCCCAAAATGAATCCCCCTGATATTCTCACAAACTCTCCATGGTTTCCGGTCACCTCGCCACCAGACTCGTACCCAGTCGCTATTTATGTGTTTTTGGGGTGAGAGAAGATAGCTGTTTTTCCTTCGTACCTTCCCATGAGACCCCGCGCGCCTCAACCTAACCCCCAATCTTCTCTCACCCCAAAAACACATAAATAGTGACTGGGTACGAGTCTGCCTCAACACCAAGAAATGTATATCCTAAGACCTATCGAAAGGACAAGTCTCTAAAAAGAATTCTTTCACTTAAATTTACAATGAAATTTGAGGAGGTAAAGGTTCAAGTGACAATATTAACCAACTTTCAAAAGAAAGGCTGTTGGATTTTAAAAAAATCGCACCTCTCAAGCAATGAAAATAAGCCGTATTAAGGTATTAAAAAGTCACAATTATTCACAAAAAATAAAACTAAAGATGAGAAGTTCGACGCAAGGTGTCAATTCAAATTGATAAACTTATATTTGGGCTTGAGGAAGAAGTAACAATCCCGAGTGAGTAAACAGTGTCAATAATTGCAGAGTTATTAGGGAGCATTCATAATTTATCTAGAGGGTGGGCTATGATGATTTCCTTATTTTTTCCTTTCATTTTTTTGAAGCCCCCCCCTGATCATCTCAGGGTTTTTTCTGACCCCCCCTCAAGAGATGTTGATTTATCAAAGGAAAATATCATAGCCCCCCCCTCCCCCAGCACATAAGTACAACATGGAGATTACAATTGGGAGGAGCTTCTTCTGACTGAAGGGCTAAATTCTCTTTACGTTTTGGAACTTGACTTATATTTGAAGAATCACTCGTTACCTTGAAAAAAAAAAAGCTGAAAAAACAAAAACTGGAACTGATTACCACTCATTTGAAAGAGACTAGGGCTGAGGCATTGAGAACCATGACTGTAACAGGGCAAAGTCTTTTACAAGAGCCAGAAGCAGTCTCAGATGATGATGATGATGATGACGAAGGCAACGACACTGTCTTGGGGGAAACACGGAGTGAGGAGAGTGAGAGTGACCAGAGCGAGTGTGAGGAGGGTGACGAGAGTGAGTTTGAGCCACTCGCAAAGAGACCTTGTAGCACAAGAAGTGAGCGTCATGCATCAAGTTTCATACTCTAGTTCTGTATCAACATTTTGTCGAAATGAAATAAAAGACAGGAATTATAAGAGCGTCCAACAGCATATTTTCATTTCCTTTTCTTTTTCAGGAAAAAAATGGTTGGCCCCCCCTATGCTCGATGTAATTTTCATTGGAAATTTTCCACAGCCCCCCCTAAATCATAGTAGGGAAAAAGAGTAACCCCCCCTCAAACTCATCATAGCCCACCCTCTAGGTAAATTATGAACGCTCTCTTATGTGGTGGCGAGTCGACTTCTTGGTGGCGAGATGAACGTAAACCCTCTCCATAACTGGAAGCTGGTGTATTCCAAAAGAGAGGGGAGAATTTATATCCCTCTTGAGCTTGTAGATTTAGGGTTTAGACAACAAAAAAATAAATAATTTACAAATTAGTTTTATTGCCTTGAAAGTTCCCTCGGTATTACTAGTTATAAAATTAACTTAATCTGGCGACATGCATGAGCTTTCAAATAAAGACTATTATATTCAGAAATTACATGGGTGTTAAATTATTTCAGTTTCAGGAACACTTCGAGCTCCTCACTTTCAACAGCTTGTTCAAACTCAGCAAAGCCCTGAAAACAGAAAAAAAGTAACAAATGATATGATTCACCAAGTTAAAAGACATATAGTTGTATTTATGCTTGTTCCAGGGTTAACCGTCGTTTCCATACAAGTTTAAAATTCCTTCGAGGTGTATATAGTTTTAGGTACTTGGCTTAAAGTATGAAGAATATTCACCCAAAATGTTTTTCTTGTTCAATTGCAACCTTTACTTGAAGTAATCGATATTTTTTGGCAATTTCACTGCTTGAGTTCACGGGCCCAAGGGCGTGTTTCTCGAAAGTCCCGGTAACTTTTGGTGCCCCGAAAGCTGTTTTGTGTTTGCATTCAAGGTCAAAGTTTCAGTAATTTTGAAAATAATACAACGAAACTATCAGTTATCGAAGCAATTTGGACTGGTTTGTAGGCAAGGAACTGTGGTAATATTCAACAGGTTTTGGTCTTAAAATTTGCCTTCTGGCCCGAAAAATTCCGGGTCTTTCGAGAAATGGGCCCCAGGCGTTCATACAGTGAAGTGTTGTGGCACGAAGTCAGAGAGCGGAAAAAGAAAAAAGAAGTGAGGAGGACCTTTGCTTTGTTTACATTTTTTGTTTGAGGCTTTTCACTTCTATTTTTTCTTTTGATTTTGTTAGTCTTAGCAAGTCTTTCTTTAGTAGAAATGTTCTACTCTCTCCCTCCCCCAAACAGATGATTTTACGGCTCTCTCTCACAAAGCAGGGTTGTTACTGGGATTTCTAGTTGCCGGGTAAATACAAAAAGTAGGCAGGGAATCAAATCAAACAGCTGGGGATTTCTTTTGGTTCTATTTCTCTTCTATTTTCCAATGAAGGTAGCTGGAGAAAATCCCTGCCCCCACCCCCCCGGTTCTTAATGAGAGCCCTGCAAATGGTCACTTAATGTTTGTTCCAAAGCTGGGCTAGAGAGTTTGAATTCCAGCTTGTCCTCTCACATTTCGCTTGTCCAGGGCCACCTTTTGCTGGTCTTAGTTAGTGATTTCATTGGAGGATGAGTTGTTTGGACCGTTGCCTATACTATTTGGCAAGTAAGCTTTTAAAGTCACTTTCCCAGCAAGAAAATCAGGACTTTTTTCAAGCCCCGAAAAGGAGTGAACTGTAGAGTGGCTCAACTGGTTAATTCAATAATATTATTATTGTTAAAATCTAATGATACTCACCCCCAGATGCACATCTCCGTTTGTCAGCTGAGGTGGAAGGCCTTTTGGATCTCCCATTATCTCTCTCATTTTGGCTTTGGCGGTATCATTACCAGCAATATCTACTTTATCATAGTCAATTTTTTTGCTGTCTAGGATCATCTCTATTTTCTGTTGATGTTTCTTCAGCTGAGAGAAAAATTTGAAATGTACAGGATACTACATAAAAAAGCTGAGACAAATACTACATGTGCAATACATCTGAAACTACTTCTATAAACTACTATTCCCATTTGCTGCTGACGTTTTTTTGTAGGATATATTCAGCAATTATTGGATGGGGCTCAGTATGATCTGAAGTATTATGGAGACTGAGGAGCAAGCCCTAGGACTTCACGGTAACATTATTGTTTCCAGTATCATATCTTTACCACGGTCTTAAACTAACGGAACAAAAATGTAGTTTCCCAGTGAAATTCTCAGCCTTAGAGATCAACAGAAATTCAGAGCAACAAATTCACTATTTTCCCACAGAGATTCTAAACTACTAGTGCAATTCTTTCTTCATGACTCAGCTTATACATAGTTTTCTCTCGTCCCCCATCTTGATTTTTTCCCAAAGTGCATTGCATGTTACTGGTTAACAATTAAGAAACGCAAGAAAAAGTATGACTATGAAAAATTGAAACATTTAGGAGGTGGGTTCCCATGAATTTTTACAGAACAAAAAAATTGTTACAGATGGTTTATCTCATGATCTCTGGGCACGGAACTAAAAACTTATTTTCCATGGCATTTGAAATAGTTGGGCTTTAAGGGGGGTGTTACCCTTCAAGGCCAATTAAAAAGGCCTAACTGTGGCATGCCATTCGCTGCAAAAATATTATTCAATCAAATCCTTTTAGCCTAATGCCATTTAATTTAATCTTGCAAATAATTATGTTGTAAGAACGAACCCAAAAGGCATTTAATTTAATTCTATGTCATGTACAGTTTATTAGTTCAATTTAGTCATGACTCTTAAAATATGCTCATTCAATCCAATCACAAAAATATTTATTCAATTCAATCACAATAGATTTTTAATCAATCCCCTTATAATTTTTTTTCAATCTGTGTATGGTTTTATATCAGGCATGGACCATAAAAAATATATGAGCATGCCTTCTACAGCCACAAAAAATAAAACTTCACAACAGCTTTGAGAACAAATACCAAACGTGCAATACGAAATCCAGAAACGGAATCATGGAAACTGAATCGGAACACGGTATCTGTGAAAAAAGGTTCCAAGTGACTGATTTGGAAATATAGTACTAATGAAAAAAAAAAGAAGCAAGAACAAGAAAATAAATAAGCAGATAAAGTACAGTGTAAAGACATAGACAATAACTTGCAAGGTCACAGGAGACTGCTGTATGACTAGAGGAGTCGATTCTGCTGAAAAGAATTTCCATCCCATTTGAGGGAATGAATGAATGCAGATTCTCATGGGATAGCAAATCGAGAGAAAAATCCAAGGTGATGTCTCAGCCCTTTAGAAAGGGGAAAGTCATATGGAAACAGACTTTCAAATAATGCATCATGTAAAATAAGCATCTTCAACATATACGGACGTCAATGGCAACTCAATGACACCTTGATTCCATCAGCATTCACTTTGGCAAAAAAATAGAACTTATTGCAGAAATGCTGGAAAGTGTGGCCATGTCATGGGCCGGTCATGTGTTAAGTACTGTTTCGGGACAATCACAGTGAGGCCTGAAGCCAACTACTACTACTCTTGACATGTGCTCTGAACACATGCTAAAAAGGCAATGTTTAACTGTATTACTGTTTTACCCGTAAACTGGTGAATAAAAATAACTAGTAAAAAAACTTTTATTGGCCCTACAGTGGAATAAATCACACTGTGGCACACCTATAAGGTAATATTTCCCTAAAGGAAACATATTAATAAGAATATATTTAAGGGAGCTGTAAAGACAAACTAAAACAAAATAATTATGTTTGGATTGCACTTAAATTATGGAATGTGAACTTCTTTATTTTTCTATCATTGATACTGTATGTGATTATTCCGTATTCCGTTTCAGGATTCTGGATTCCATATTTTTGCACTGCCACCTCGCGAAAAGGATCATTGCCTCTCAAGCTAAACATATAGGCACAAATTATGCTTAAAGGGATAGGTTCATGGTTCAGTGCATGCTCGTTGATCAAAATGCTGTTTTCCTGCTGGGACATGCTGTATCATCTATGAAAGCAGTATGATCAATGTCATAATGTCGTCAAAGAACCAATCTGCACACTCCTCTGGCAGTCACTTGATCAACTTACATGTACATGCAAATAGCTGTCAATTAATCAACCATGGAATAAAACCTTCGGGTCAACCATAAATTCAACGTTGGTAGTGTTGGCAAAATCCACTTATTTTTCTGCGATATTAGTACTCCTCCATCCCACTTCACGTTACTTTGAAATACACTTCTACTTTGAAATACACTCTGAGATCGCTGAGATATATGTGAGTAGGATTATTAACCGACAGAATTAATGATAAATTGGAAAAAAAGTAATTTAATTAATGAGCCGGATGCGCTGAACTGTGAAACTGTCCCTTTAAGCCTTTGTGGACACTCTTCGTGATTTCTATCTTGTTTGGAGTATATCCAAGTACTTGCATATTAGCATATAAATCGGAAAAAAAAATGAATACGAATAGATAAACTTGTAAACAAAAGTTATTTGCATTGTTATGAAAAAATATTGTTTTCCGCCCAGCAATTGAGATTCCCTTGCCCATATATTAAACGCCTCATTACTCTCAATCTACATGTATAACTATTCACCGTTGCGGAGGTTACTTCTTATCAGAAGACCAATCAACAACACATTACTATGTCTCATCAAGGATAATACTATTCTGTTGCAAATGGAGACTGCACCTTCGCATAAATTTAAGCTTTATATCATAATAATCATCCAAGGGAACCCATGCATTTGCTAATTTCCTGCTACCACTGCTACTACACATGTACAAGAAATTCGCTTTTTCTGCAAGTTGACTTGAGATCTGAATAACAAGGACCAATCCTACGTTTCTCTAGTTTAGCAAGCAACTAAATTGTACGGAATCGTCTATAAAATACGTTAATAAATATTTCAAATCACCAGACAAAAACACACCCCCACACATGCTTGCCTTCCTTCGTACAGCTAAATAAACATAGCGAATGAAAGTAAAATATAAGACTTACCTCCAAATTGCTGGAAACAGATGAATAGTAATATGTTATACGAGACATGGTACAGGGCTTCAGAGAATTTTTTCAACACTATACTTTGAAGATAAAATAAAGGCTTATTTCCAGCGATGCAATGCAAAAGCAAGTGTCACTCAACACCGCACGATTGCTTCTTCACCTTTTGGCACTTTTACGTCACGCAAGAGCTTCCTCCTCGACAGGTCCCAGATTTGTTAATCTTTCGACAACGATGGATATTTTCTTGCCTTTAATAGACGAAGAAACACGAGATTTAAATTTTTAACCTTTTCCTCAGCCTCGTACACCAACTATGCGTCTGCTCAGGAACGAAAACCCTCTAGTTACCAGATTCTTCGCCAAATAAAGGGAAGGAACGCCTGGTTAGAAATGTTGGGGGTGTTGTCATTTTTATCTTGGATTCGATTACATGCCGAAGATTAGACATCATTTAGTGTTTCATCCGTTGGTGTATCTCTTGTTTCAATCATGAGTGGAAAAGTTACGCTGTTTATCTCCGGTATTTCAGGGAGCAAGGAGGTATTTTTTGTTAAGTTTAATGATTTCTTACAAATTGCTCTAGGTGTCGACTTGAATAATGTGTTAATTTTTAAACAGTCGAGTGTAACCCGGGGTGTAAGTGATCCCTGATCCTGCATAGGAGTCGTGAGATACTGGACCGCAATAAAGTTTATAGCGGTATTTCACCGGCTTCTTATACTGTATCACTTATGATTAAGCTTTTAAATCTATCCAATAACAGTTAGCTTTCAAATTTTACTTCGCGAAAGGCACTCATTTAACTCTTTCAATCGGAGTTTGTGATCCTAACTTTACATTTGAGTCACAGCTACCCTTGTGCTCTCTGCGGAGATCAATGAATTTATCTGGAATTATATCATTTGAACCGATCTTATGACAAGATAGCTATCTTGTATCGCTGGCACAGCGCTAGCGTCCAGAAAAGTATTTTCAAAGATTTAAGTTTATTTTATTTTTGAACATATAAAATTAACTCATTTCTCGCCAGAGCATATTTTCATTAAAAATTGCTCAAGCTGTTTTGAATCTAAAACTTGACTTGTCAAAGAAACTTAATAATATTAAATTGAGAAAACAGAGAAGTTCGCTTTTCCAGTCAGTTTCCCAAAATAAGAAGGTTCTCTTTCTCTGCAATTTATGCTTCAATCAGATTTGAAAAAACTAAGTGAAAGAAAATTGAAAGTCCATGTCTTAGTCTTTTGAATGGCCATTTATATTATAACAAATGGAATTATTACTGATGACATATTTATTTCAGAATGAAATATCTTCCACAATCATTGCATGGAAAGCAATTAAGTCCAGAGCAGAATTTGGGGGTACACTGGGTCCTCAATAGCTGGTCATATAGATAATTTAATTTTAACCTTTTCTGACTGAACTGCTGAACACCTACAGCAACACTACCTGCCTGCCATGCAAGCGTTTTTAGGGGAGCTCGTTTTTTCGTCCCTCCCCACAAATGCCAGCTCAACGGAGAACAACATTCCTTTCCCATTGTGTTATTTGCGTGGTGTGACCAATCAACAGTTTTGAAATAAAGTGTTGACAGGCTAAACAAGACTCATAAGCTTGTGGTATATTTATATATAGTGTCAATAAATATACCTTTTTCGTAATTCTTTTTTTTCCTTCGCTAAGGTTATGCAGAGCATGGAGTATTCTAAAATCTGACTAAATCTTACTTTTGCCGCCCTGAGTCTAACATTTTTTTGTTAGAGGTCATAAAGCTTTCCCAGTGTTTTTTTTCATGCAGATCGAGTATTTATCAGGTTACCGTGTAGTCAAGGTCAACCTTCCAGAATTTGGAAAGTACAATGTGATTGGCTTGGTTAACCTTGGTTCTCGGTCGAGCAGGCATTTGTGAGGAGGGACAAAATATAAGCTCCCCTAAAAATGCCTGCGTGGAAGGTTACAGTAACACATGCTTGTATCATAGGCTATAATACATGCCAGTATCCCAAGGGATACAACTGTCATTTGTTGCTTTTCTTTGCCAGATTAAAAAAAGACAGCAACACATTAGCACGATGTTGCAGGCACAGAAAATACCTTTTGAGACAGTTGACGTAGCATCTGATCCAGCTGCACTGGACAGGATGAGGGAACTGGTCACAAAAGGAAAACCGAAAATAAAGGATCCTGATGATGAAGAGGAGGATGAGGAGGAGGAAGAAGAAGTCATCCTTGCTCCTCAGATTGCAAATGGTGATGAGTACTGTGGGGTAAGGAATTTACATCATTTGAGCCGCATAGTTTGCCAGTTTGACATCACTGGGGCCACACATTATGGATTTCCCCACTCCCCTATGGGGATGGGTTATCCCTTGAGTATTTTACTAATGCTGATTGGTCTGATAAATGAGGTCTGCAGCTAGCTCTTAAATCCCAGCCCCCCAAAACCTTTTTTTGGTACACAAAATTAACCCCTAAAAGGTAGTTTGACCAAGAACATCTTCTTTACACATCATCTACTCCAGCTAGAATATATTAACAACCCAAAAACTAATTACTGGGCTTCCCATGTGAGTGATATGCTGCCCATTCAAAAAATAATGGAGGCCGCCTCATCTGTCCAACAAAAAGATTAAATAGAGGATGGATCTTGTTTTCCGTCCCCCTGAAGAGGATTGAATTTTTAATATACAGAAGATGGCAGACTAAGAATGTGATCAGCAAAGCTAGTCTCACTCTGGACTGACAGCTCTGCTTTTCTTTATCACACTGTTTATCATGTTTTTACGAACAAATGTTTATGTATCTTAACAAATGTCATGTGACCGAAGCACGAGAAAGTCAGGCTCAAAGGTAATATAAATAAATGGCATTTTGGAAGAATACACATATGATTCTGGCAAATTGAGCTCTTCAAGTGTAATTTTTGAACCCATTTGATTATTGCTGCATTCATGTCCATTCCCCCACCTTAAGTGCCAGAGATTTTTTAAGCCTGCTTTCTAGAATCCGTTCATTCAAGTCTTTATCATTACTTCTCAATCGCCGCATGCAAGAATAAAACCTCTGGAATCCAGGGTAAATCCCCCGGACATTTGTCATATAGGTTCCTCTATCCATGAGGTCTTCGTTTTAGTCCATGGGGTCTTCATTTTAGTCCATGGGATCTTAGGTCTTCGTTTTGGGTGTTTGGTTTAGAAACACCCATCTCCTCCCTATAAACATCTTCCTCAGAAATCTTCAGAGGCCATGGTTATGCTTTCGCTGGCTAATATTCTGTAGGGGCGGCAATATTCAAACAGACTGTGAAGGCATTTCAAATCTACACTATCTTTAGCCACAAGTCAACTAACTTTTTAAAATGGAGGACAATTTTAGCCTCTCACACAGACATTCGTTTGGCTCATTACGCAATGAGGAATTGTAAGGTACGTGTGATGAAGCCCTAAGAAGGTACGGTCTGCTTGGTAGGTGTAATTTTGGTGCAGCATGTCAAATTGTCACGCAAGCGGACAGACTAAATGTACCCCCATTATTTAATATGTGCACTATGATCAGATTTATCAAGTGGTCATGTAAAAACCTGCCTCATATCATATATTAGCTAAGTATGTGAAGTGTTTTGTTTTTTCTGCCATATTGATCTTAAAATGGGTGGACATTTCGCCCATTGTGGTTTGATTAATCAGGTATGGTTTTCAATTCAATGTTAAAATGTTTAAATTCAGTGTCTGTTCAGCTCCAACATTTCATGTGAAAGACTATCTTTATTGATAAGCATATTTTTTTACTTATTAAAAAAATATGCTTGTCAATTAAGATTATGCTGACTTTTCTTGGACAAGGTAATGGGTTCATAAACCATGTACAACTTTCAAAAACCAGAGTCTGAAAACTGATATGGGTTTTGGTCTAAAATAGGGTAGGAATTTGTTGAACCGGGCAGCACTTTTAATTATAGTTTATCTAATAATAATATTATTATTGGATATTATATTAATGAAATATTTCAGTTAATTGAAAATTTTTGTGAATTCTTGAAAGAAAAGTGCTCATTATATATATTTTTTTACCTAGGGTTATGAAGACTTTGAAAATGCTATTGAAATGGAGAATTTGAAAGAGTTCTTAAAGCTGAAGTAACAGGATCAGTGGATTATATCTCTTGGACTTATGACACAAGTTACATACAGCTGCATAAACTTAAGTTAAGACACTATAGGTGACTTTTAAAGTCAATTGATCATCCAGCTTTAAAGTATCAAAAATATGGACTTCTCTTTTAGAGCGTTTATAATAAAGAAATTATTCTTCAGCCATTAGCAGTTTTGAGCTTCAGATTGATATTGTTGAGTAGAACATGTAACTGAAACTGTAATGATTATAAAACGCTTTTTATCATTACTGAATTATATTTCCAGTACTTTGGAACTCCAGTTGGTACTTAGTTAAATGGGGGCTCCAAAAACTGCATAAATCATTGGACTGAGTAACATGATATTCTTTTTTACACACCATGGAATGCACATTTAGTTACTATTTAATACCATATAATACTGTTGGAAAAATTGAAAAATTTCTTAAAACAAAAACAAAGGCAGCCAAGTTAGTTAACAGTATTTTGTAAACAAAAGTTTTATGCAATAGTTTTTTTTTATACTTAGCAAACTAAGGCAAAAAACGGAAAACGAATGATAAAATCCAACGTTGCGGAGAAGTCATGACCCCATTATTCGATCATGCAAATTACAGCAATTAAAGCGATGTGCCGCGAAAATTAACATTATAACAGGGTGAAAATACTTTTGCACGAATACCAAATAGCAAATTATTTTATAAAGTATTAATACAAAATAGTTTTGTATAATTCAACCAGCTCAGACTTAAAGATAGACAAAAATTGCAATTTAAATTTTTTGCTAAGTTGCAACAAATGCAAAATTAATGTGCTTACCATACTGTACCAGTTGTGATTACAAAAAAAATTACAAGTTTTCCTGTATTGAGTGGATATAACAACACAGGACCAATTTAATCACAGTTGAGCTCCCTATTAAAGAGGACACCCATATCTGCCACGCAGACATTGCACTTGCAAGACACGCCAAAAGAATGTCTGTGTGGGAGGCTATTTAAAAGGAGAATTGTTGGTTTTCTAAGTTAGGGGAGAGTTTTTAAAACAGAGTTTTTCTCAAGGTAGTCTTAAGAAGAGCCATCTGCTTGGCCATTAAGATAGCTAATAATTGTTTGTCTTTTTCATTTTCAAAATACTTTACTGAATCCTTATAGGGCACCATGTATAAGGAAAGATTGTTGTTTCTAGAGATATAACCTTAATAATTTTAAGGCTATTGGTCAATTTTTTTCCATTTTGTCAATTAATAAAATGACAGGTCTTCACCTGTTTATACTTTGTACCTTCAAACTGACTGTAGTTATTAACTTACATGGTCTTTTTGTAGTAGGCCTAACTTGTAAGAATGTGGTTAAACAGCAGCTTTATACTACTAGTTCAGCACATTTGGCATCTTCCTTTAATGTCTTACGAACATGCTTAATGTCTTAATTACACTGGCATGTTAAAAAACATTTGTAAACGGTTTCCCAGTCCTTTTGATACGAAGTCGTTTCGATACAAGTTTATACAGTCGAGGTTTAAATTTATAGTTTTCACATCTTTGGCGTAAAGAACAAAGAACATTCACCCAAAATGTTTTCCTTGTTCACACAGAAACTATAATTGGGGTGAACTAAATTTGTGTGCAATTTCACTGTTTGAGTTCGTATCAAAACAACTTGTATTGAAACAACTGATTTCCCTGTTAACACCAGAAGGGTGAATCCAGGAATTTTTTGGTCAGGAGTCTAAACTTGTGACATCATTGAAATTAGTGGTTTACAGTTGTTTATTTCTACCCTAACTTGTTGTTATAATTATTTGCAGTCAACTTAAAATATGTAGGCCTTAATTAACAAAAAGTATTTTACAAAACTCGACAAGTAAAATACCCATACCTGAAGCCTGAAAAGGTACCCCTTTCAGGCAGTCTAAATCTCTGATATTTACTATCGAGTTCTCTATCTAGGTTTCGAGTGAGAGTCCGGCTACAACGCAGGCTATCTTACAGGTGAATAAGGAATAGTATTCCCTTTTTCCATTTTGCACATTAATTGTAATTTTAAGTAAAACAGAATGAATCTGGCTTAAATACAATGATATTAACCTTAGTGTGCACAAGCACCTACCGGTAATCAAAAGAGATCAAAGTGGAATCGGAATTTTCAATTTCAATTTAAAATATTCAGAGACCTTGGCATGAAGTGTCCACAGTGGATGCCAAAAAAGACCATAGAATGAATTCAATTTTTATGCTTCAGGCATTATGGATAAGGCATTTCATGGATGGTTATGCATATCTCCCGAAACCTGCTTTAACTAACAATAATAATTATTTTATTCATTAGGACAAGAATATGTTTTCTTGAAAGTTAATCTGTTCCAAAATATCTCTGTCCAAAAGATGAAGGGCAATCTGAGTGAACCTCTGATGTTAATATGGTGACAGATGGAAAATTCTTCAGCAACAGCTCGACACCTTGTCAAGAAAGTAATGATAATAAATGAATTTAAATTAATATAAATAATTAATATAAATTCGCAAATAAAAATTACCACACACATTTTTCCTGCAAAAATTTACTCCAGAGTAAATATTCTCTAACTTAAATTTGCTACACAAATATACTTAGGCTCGATTACCAGCCGCTGTTCGGGAAAATGAGCCCGCACTCATCCCCAGAAAGAGCGGCTGGACGCGTGCGATTTCCTTTGTTGGTTTAAGCCAATCATGTTACCGCCTGCAGATTTTTGTCTGGCAAAGATTGTCGCAGAAATTAGAAAGTCCTCCCTTGATCCATCGCATGGCAAAGCGATTTCGACGGCCCGGAGACACTAGGCGAAATTCTAGAGTCGGAAGGAACAAAACGTTTTGTTCGATTCTTTGTTGTGAACTTTGCTTTTAATGATTGTTGTTGGAGAGATTTTGCATCTTCAAGGATCTTTTCAAGGCGCTTTAGATCTCGATAACTGCGTTCGTTACAGATGTAACCGTCCACGTTTATATTTGACAGAGAAACATTCAATACGCTGGAAATTCTGTCTGGTAAATCAGAAACTTTTCCATTTAATTTGGTCCGCTACCGAGAATCAGTTAGTTCGGACCCACAGAAGACACAACCAATATTCGAAGATCAAAGAAAATTAACTATATGTCGCCGTGTACAGAAATGTACCGAAGAATATTTTTCGCAGTGTATGGAAATGTAGCGAAAAAGCTATTTCGAAAGTCATTTGGGTGGGTAAGGGAGCGCTTGATGCAATTTTGAGCCAAATAAATGAGAAAATTGGAGACCGGTTTCACTTCCAGTGACATCGGAGACGCCTAAGTTATCAATTTTCCAATTACGTCACAGACAAAGTCAACGGGTCACGCGTCCAGCCGTCTCTCTTCGGGGAGGATCAAAGACCGGACCCAGGAGACGGCGGAAATCGAGCCTAAAATATACTGTACTAAGAAATTGTGCCTGTTCAATCACAACTTGTCTCTTTCATTCAGAAACGACGAAATACTGGTTTATTGCTTGAAAATAATTATGTATTTCTATTGCATGTACTCAATAAAAACGAAACTGTTATTAATGCTGGGAACTGGGTACTTTCTGAAAATCACAAAAATTAATTCCCAGCAAGAAAAACCAATCTGTCCTAACTGCAAAAATCAGTTCCCGCAAAACACAAAAAGATGCCAATCCGCAAAAATAGACTCCTGCAAAATCTTCGTGCCACACAGTATGAATGTGCAATGTGGCAGGTGAATGTGCATCCACTAAGTTACTTACAAAGTGTCTAAAATTAATTACATTTTCTTTCACATAATTATTACATCTACGTATTTCTTCACCCAGGAAAAAACAACTCAGCTTAACTTGTTTAATTTTTTCACCGCAAATGATAAGAATCATCAAGGGGCTGACAAACAAGCAGAAGGCTGCTGATTGAATGAGTTGCTGGGTATCATTAAGTGTCTGATTTTTATCCTTGTGTGGTCATTTGATAAGGTCATTACTTACCTTTGGGAGTTGAAAAAACATTTAAAAGGAGTATATTCTTTTCCTTTACTCCATGCTCAAGTAGAACCTTTATGGCTGTTATCACTGTAGCCCCAGAATCTGCTGCAGACCAAATATGAAATTAGATCATATCTTTATGGTAGAGACAATAATTGCAGTGCTAAAACCAAGGCTATTTTAAATTGTGCTCATAATATTATGCAGATCTCTTCCTGACAGATGTCTGTATCACCAGTATTGAAAATTCTGGAACCACAGGTTTCGTGTAGATCCCGCTTCATAAGAAGGCTAAATCCCGCATCCCGTCCATAAATGTGATCCTAAATCCCGCTCCCATATCTGTTTAAAAGCCTGAATCTTGGGCTCTAAAAAGGCCAAATCCTGGATCCCAAAAAACCTGTTGGCGACCCTTGGTACAGTTCATGAAAACGTATGCTAAAAAAAATATAGTGCAAATTCAACCAGAGCTTACTTAATAAAGGGTACATGAGGAGAACTCTTCTCTGTTCCATACCAGGAGGAAACTTTGCATAGTAAACCTTGCAAAAAAAATAACATAATTAATTTTAGTATATGCAAATAAGGCAGAGATACCTATTTATTCAAAATTCCTATGGGACAGGAAAACTTGAGTATAAAGATCTCATGATGCAAGAAGAAATAAAATATGATGGTATGGAAAAAATGAAGAATTAATTTTTCACAATTAATTAGCCTGAGAAAACAGCTGACATTTGGCAATGCCACCACTGGTTTCCCCACCAAATGATGTCTGAGAAACGAGTGCAGAAATTCCCATACCGATGATGCATCACTACCCAGATCTGGGTAGTGCTTCTGATTGGTTGAATCATTTAAATAAATGATGACATGTCATCAGTATGGAATTTCTGTGCTTGTTTCTCAGACGTGATTTGGCAGGGAAACCAGTGGTAGCATCGCCAAATGTTGGCTGTTTTCTCAGGCTAACAATAAGTATGAATTTGTCATATATACCACTGAGGCTGTAACATGAAAAATGGAGTTTAATATCACTCGAACCAAGACTCATTATTTACCGTAGGCATCTTGGTCTCCTCATTGACTTTTATAAGAATCTTTCCTATTCTTATTGAACGACAGCAATCCCGCAATCCTTTTTCCATAGCTTCACCTGAAGAATAATAAAGACACCTTACATGTACTGTATTACAGTGTATGATACATCATAATTATTATTGTAAAAAGCTATGCTCACAGTCCTCTGACAAAATTATTTGGCCCCTGTCCCCAACCCCATAAAATTTCCATTGACTTTCCGGAAGAGGATGCACATAAAACTTCAATGGAATCAAATGTAACAACTGTTTAAAATACAGGTCCACATGTTAATGAACTGTAAAAGCATTAAGAAATGCTTACCACTTCTCATAATGCTTACACCACAGTTTCCTCGTTGAAAAGCTAATCCTTCGTACAAAGCTCCTATGAAAAGAAGAAAAAAAAAAATGAATGAATGGTTGTGTAGAGTGTTCAGCAGACTCCCACCGTCTTAACCCTTCATTTCTTAAAACTCGTAGATTTAATAATCAATACTATAACTCTTGTGGACATGGAGCTTGCCGGCTTGGGAAACAGTGTCCCCCAAATGGAGATACACTGTATTTCTTAAAGGCTAGAGAAACAATTTAATTACCAATTATTCCACAATTTTTGTGGCTCAAGATATTGGACAAATTTAACTATTAATTTGTTTTAAAATAGATGTTTTATTATTCTTTTACATTCAAATTGCCTGGTAAACAATATTAAAGTGACTTTTCTCCATTGAAACCTGGTAAAACAATGTTAATTAGCCCTGAAAAAATGCATAACTTATCACACAATCTGCCCTGAAAAGGCCGCATAATTTCTGATTTTTTTTCGCACCCTATCAGAAGGCCTGTTATAACTACAAGCACTATTAATAATACATCTGCATAGCAACTGACTCATTTTTATGGTGAACATTAATTCCTTTCAACACAACTAATAAAACCACGAATGCTTTCTTTCTGCCCCACTTCCATAGCCAATGAGGGCTCTAAAGATGGCACCCTTATCACACCGCACAATTTTGCTGTTGAATGCTTTACTACTAAAAACAGTATTTGTAGCTAACCGGTTGGTGTCGTCACAGTACAGGTTTCATAAGGAAGTTGATTCAGGCCTTCTTCAACTACTAGTCGTATCTGAAAGAGAAACCAATTAATGAATTATTCCCCTTAATAATTATTAAGGAATACACAAATGTGCTTCAGAAATGCTGTATACAGGTGCATAGTGTAAAAAGTGGGAAAAGCATTAACACAAACTTAAAAAACTTCGATCCAAAAACAATGCGTTGTTGTTATAATTATTACTTCATGCATCCTTACACACATACATGTAACAAGAGTAACAAGTTTATAACAGGGACGCTGAGCTCCAGGTACAATGTATAATAGACCGGTCAAGAATGAAATTACATGTAATACTACTCACTAGTCTGTCAGCATAGAAGACAAAGTCTCCCCTCTGTGTTTCCCTGCCATTATAATGATAATGAAGAAAAAAACAGATATGTATATATTATGTTGTGGTTCAATTTTATCCTTGGTTTAAAGTTTAAATACACGGTCACATATAGCTGTATGTATGTGCAGATGGCATGGATCTGTGATCAGGCAGAGGAAAGAGGTTAAAACATATGAAAACTATACCAGAAAAGCCTTTTAGGGTGTTTTACATCTTAACTGACACAAGAAAATTAATGTGGTTGAATACAGGTAGTTTTACTTCTTGGTAGGTAAAGCATACATATGCTATGGTGTCACTCCATTTATAGCTAACAATCATTCTTAAAAATTTTCTTATGTTTGAAGGGTAATCATCTTGCACATGCAAGGAATTTTAAAAAAAAATTCCAACCAAAAACGACAGACTGTTTTGACATAGCCCTGTCATTTCATTTAAATGTAGTACCTACATGAACCAAATACAAGCCATTTATGATTACCTCTCTGTTACTTCTGTCTCAGATAAACAGTACTAATAGACATGGTGCACATGTTAGAATAGAATGCCATTCTTCCTTTTTAGATTACAGTAACTGAAGATAGTAATTCAGAGATGTGGGGAGGGGGATAAAAATTCCACTGTGAGGTGAAAGTTTTTTTTTTTGCTAAGTAGAGTTATGTCGTTTGCATGAGAAATCGGTCACGATTCACCAACAGTAATTTGTAAATAGAATAGTGGAAGTTGTGCTCCTTGGAACTTGACATCAAGCAAAATCAATGACGTCACTACGACTACCTACTTTTCTGAGCCCAGCGTAAACCAAACCCTAGACTTGAGATCTATAACGCATTTCAGGATCGCTTGACTTTTCTTAATCGACATATGATAGTTTCGGTTGGTTGGGATTCTTAGATAAGTCAAATTTATTGAAAATACCGGGCTGCCGGTCATTTAGTGTTTTGAAAACCTTGACCGGTTACCGGCCATATAGCCTCAGCGTATAAATATAGCAGAATTTCTTGAATCCCTTTTCCTCTCTGATAGATTGGGCCCTCTACACCACCATAAGCGGTGGGGAATCCGGACGTTTCGTACCCATGGACGTTTCGTACCCAGACGATTCGTACCCAAAGTTGAGATGATTCGTACCCAACGCTAAGATGATTCGTACCCAACTGCCGTTTTGATAGGAACACATCTTTAATCATATCTCTCTCAAAACAATCTAAAATAAACATTTATATAAATCAGAACGACTCGTTACCTACGCGCGAGTTAGATCAAATTATAACCACCGCTCACTTTTATTTGCGTAGACTCGTGACGCGTGAGCGGCGCAGATACTAAAGGAGGTGAGACTCTTCATTAACATACAACTCAAAAGGAAATGGTACTTACACGAAATGAGCTTGTTCCCACTTTTCACGGATGGGTCCAATTTATGTCAATTTATATGTCGATGTTTGAACTTGTCGAATCATAAACTTTTGTTAGTTCATGCGCTTTCACGCGATCCATTTTGTTAACTCGTTCGCTCTCACGCGAGTTAGATCAAATTAATCACCGCACACTTTCTTTGTGTAGACTCGTGACGCGTGAGCGGCGCCGATACTAGAGGAGGTGAGACTTCAGATTAGTGAAAGCCTTAACTTAAACTATGAAAACACACTGTTTACAACATGAAGACTTGGTTATTGCATGGGTATGAATCATTTAGCTTTGGGTACGAAGCATCTCAGCTTTGGGTACGAATCATCTTAGCGTTGGGTACGAATCATCTCAACTTTGGGTACGAATCGTCTGGGTACGAAACGTCCGTGGGTACGAAACGTCCGGTAAGATCGCATAGTACCACTGTGCAATTACAGAGTACAGGCTTTAGGGGAAAAAAATGACAGAAGAACCTACCTGTCTCTGAGAATAGTCTGTAACTCACGGACCTGGTCATTCATTTTGATAATTTTGAGGTTAGGTCCAAACTCCGCGGGCTTCTGCCACAGTGGAGGTTTCTCGTCGGGTATGAGCTTAAGGCCATTTGTTAATTCACAATCTTCCGCGGCTGTAATGCATTTATCCGACGTTTCAGAAGCTTCAGTCGTCTTTTGTGTTCCTTTTTGTTCTTTAACGTTTACACGTTCAGGCATTATTTGGAAAACAGAGCTCATTCATCCCCATAAACAGTGCATCGGGGAAACATCGAAACGACCCATCGCAACACGTTTTCCTTTTGTTTTCCTTCTGTACCAACTCTTCCCCAGGGTCTTATCGTCTGCCGCCATCCCATGATGCGAAGCGAAAAATTTCGCGCGAAAAATGTTATGTTATGCCATTTTTCCGGCTATCTAGGGAACTGCGCGAAAAAAATAAAACACTTATATTCATTTAAATTATCTCTTGTATCAAATTTTATCTGTGACTGAGAGTTACACCACAGGCTCACTTCTTCATAATCAAAACGAACCAATTGAATGTCATCACGGCCGATAGGCTTTATGGGCAGCCGTGTTTGCGGGATCGCGTTCTCGTGTTGATTCGTGCCAGGCGTGTCACTTTGAGGAAACCGCGTTACTTTCAGTGGAAGAAGGAGTGAACATTTACAATGGAAGAGACAGTCGGTCAACCTGCAGACGCCGTCATTGCCGCGGACCAGGAGAGACCCATCCAAAGCGGAAGCGATGCAGCTGCTGCAGGAACTGGTATGCTTGAGAAAATTTCACAAGACTATTCCTATTTACTGCTATTTAGGACTTTCCTTCTGTGCTAATGGTAACTTCTCAATTCAAAGCGAATACTAATCGAAAAATGTAGACGCTGTATGTTTGCAACAAAAAGTTTTCTTCACTTCCCAAAACTATCAATTGATACTTGTTGCGACAAACTTTTTAACACACTGTTCAAACCTATTCTTGGTTTGCAACCACGTAAGAAGGCGAAACAAAAGAATATTTTCTCGAAGAATTTACATGAAAATAGAATTCGTTCCCAGAGGAGAGAAATGCCTTTGTTCTTGACCACCAACATGGCCGCCGTGACATCACGTGCAAACGAGCAATATATATTGTATACCTCAGAAGTATGGGGTGCATATGACAAACTGAATCTTGATAAATGGGAACAGGACCCTAGCCTGCAGAAAGAATTCACTGTCAGTTTTTATAAATACTTTCTTAATGGATTGAACAAAAGGGCTTCCAATGTTGTCGCTGGAAACGAAGTTGGGCAAACATCTTTAAAACCCACCACAGGCCATTTGCTCTATGCGGTCATGTGACATCATTTTTATAAAAATGAAAGTTATATGATTTTTCTTTCAAAAAACTATTAGTGGGTCATATCTTAAACAAAAAATAGGGATTTATTTAGTTTTTCAAACCTGCACCATTTTCTTAAAATGTGTAAGTTTGTAGCTGGTCATGTGACCAAAATGTGAATTTAAAACTATGAATTACCTCTTTCTGAACAGAAATTTTGTACTTAAACTTCAAGGAAATTGTTGAAAAGATGATGTGGTAATGTTTTCAGCACATCAGGCCTATTTATAATTTGAATATCCTCATATTCTGGCAACATTAGAAGAACTATGCGAAAATAGCATTGCGAAGAACTAGTGCCTCATCACATCAAAAGAATTAGCAAAATATTAATACAAGAAATCATTTCTTTATCTCTTCCACATACCAAATATGCTCACAGTTTTGCAAAAAAGGACCAAACACAACAGGACTTGGTGATATTCAACAAATAAATAAATTGGAAATATCTAAATTAACACAAAATATTCTTATAAGATTAAGCTAAAACACATCAATCCTCTCTCATTCAACTAAATAACAAACTAAAAGTTTACTATCGTTTCAAACAAGACAACAATAAATCTCTTTCCTTGGACCTTTTAAAAAACACAAATCACCAATGCACAGGCAGCACAGTAGCAAAATTTAGAATGGGGTTCGATCATAAGTTAACGATAGAATACTGGAGATACTGCACGCCCAAAATCCGTGAACATCTCAACTTGTGTCAATACTGTTCTATAAAATAATGAAATCAAAGACGAGCAACACTTCATGCTAAACTGCATGCCCTCTTTACCTTAATGAATGACAATATCTCCCTGATTCTACAAGTTGCAAATATCCTAATTTTCACTCATTGAATGGAAACAATATAATACTTTTTCTCTTCAATAATGTAGATCCCTTTGTCTGCTAGAAACTTGGCCATTTTATTTTTCTGGCCTTCGAAAAACGTGAAAATAGAACGTTAAACATAGCTGCAATATAGTTAGCATTTTCCATGCAATTATGGCCATTATTATTATTATTTATAATATATTATTACTATTATTTTCTCATTTTTTTTCTTTACCGTAACATAATCAATATTGTAATCGGCAATGCCATCTACTCATGAACATTGCAATAATTGTTGTTGTTGTAAAATGTATTATGTCAAAGTTGTTTCTGCATTAAAATCCTTGGGTTCTTAAGTGGTCTAATCTTGAAGTAATATTACATAAGCTCGCCCTTTTTTTTTTTTTAATTTTTAAAATTTTTAAAAATTTTTAAAACTAAACTAGTGAGCAGCACTCCGCGAACTGTTGCTGTAAAACTTGTTTATTCTCCTACGCGTTTCGTCTAACTAACGTAGACTTCTTCAGGGAGTTTTACAATCAAACACAAAACGCCTGTATTTAAGCCATAATATGACTAAAGCTAAAACCATGGCCCCAAAGTATTCTTACACCTTGCGTAAAAAAATTTCACGGCTGCGCCTGTTCCTTTTCGTAAATCCGGCCAAACCTTCAATGTTTGCGACCATCATTATTTTTAGTCATATTATGGGTTAAATCCAGGCGTTTATAGTGTTTAATTGTAAAACTCCCTGAAGAAGTCTACGTTAGTTAGACGAAACGCGAAGGAGAATAAACAAGTTTTACAGCAACAGTTCGCAGAGTGCTGCTCACTAGTTTAGTTTTAAAAATTAAAAATTTTAAAAATTAAAAAAAAAAATAGAAATGAATAGTCCTCGTGATTAAATTGGGAATGAGTACATGAGGCTATTTTAATGATATTAAAAAAATTCAACGAGATTTGTTTGAAGAATGAGATACAGGAAACAAAACTGCATAATAGGCCACCACGAAAAATACCATAGTATTCTCAAATTGCCGCACCTAAACCGTACGTTCAAATTATGAACTGCACAAACTGCACGTGCAATGGCTTGTTTCCAAACACATGCTGCATCAGTCAATTACGGATGCATCCATGCCCACCACCCACAAGCAACTGTGGGGCATTTTCCCGGCTTGTCAGTCCCTCGGTCTAGGGTTGGGCATTTGCCATCCCTGGGGCCACCCCAGAGCTATTTTGGCTCGTATTTGCATCCCTATCCAGATATAAATATAACATAGAGGATTTTATGGCAAACACAAGCAGGTTCAAAGATTGGCTCACCTGTCAAGGACAGGAAAAACTTGTTTTCTTGATGTCAATGTCTGCATTTCATCATTGCTTATCAAGCTGGAAGTCTGGAGCTATTGATGTGAATCAACACATTTTTTGGTTATGGAATGAAATTTCTGTTGATCTAGGATTTCAATGATTTTAGTGGTGATGATATTATTTTCTAATACTACTATGATCTATCATTGAGGAACTTCGGGCAATCCTTTGCTCGCTCTGCTATCCCTGAGGAAAAGTGGAGGCCACTGATCGTAGTCTATCTCTATTACAAAGGCAGATGGTAACCAAAATGAAAAATTGGCAATAGGCCAGTTGCACTAAGAGGTCAGGTGACCATTACTTTCTTCAAGCAATGAGTTGGAATCTTGCTGATGCCAAAAATTGACAGAGCAGATAAAAATTATCTTACGCCCTAAATTTAAGAGGAAACGCATTTAAGGCAGATATTTTATGGCACTTTGATTTTTCAACAAAGTAGTATGATTTTCAGTGGCCGCATGTTGGAGGGCATAGTCTTGCCCTCCAACATGGTGGCAAAAACTACTTTTTTGCTTATATCTTATTAAATGTTTGATAGTTACGCTCAGATGTGCTGTAAACGTTACCACATCGTCCTTTCAACATTTTCCTTGAAGTTTAAGTGCAAAATTTGCGTTCAGAAAGAGGTAATTCATAAATTATTTCAATAATCACATTTTGGTCATGTGACCAGCTATGAACTTACTCGTTTTAAGAAAATGGTGTGGGTTTGAAAAACCAAATCACCATTATGTTGTTTACGATATGACCCACTAATCATTTTTCAAGGACAAAATCATATAACTTTCATTTTCCTAAAAAATGATATCACATGACGTCTTAGTGAAAAATAATGACCCATTAAAATGCACTATTGACTGTGTGATCAATGAAAAGTGCGGCGGTGTTGATTGATGATGGGGCATTTGCCCTCTTTTTTGTCCCCGCCACGGGGCATTTGTCAGCTCAAGTGTCCCCGTCCCCAGGAATTTACCATCCAAGTCAGAAAAATTGCTAATTCTAATGTCTGGCGGGGGGGGGGGAGGATGCACCTGGAATTGACTGATGCATAATTCTTTCTGAGTATACGTATGTAGGCGCAGTTAGTGCCAACTATGGAATAGGAGGCGTGCACTTAAAAGCCTTTAGCTTTATCTCTGATCCATTAGTCACTTCTTTTGTTGCCGAACTACTGAATGTGTAGAAAGACAAAAGTAACAAAGTGTACTTTGGCCAACGTTGAACGTTTGCAAGCAGATATACTGAGTATGCCAATTTTCAAAAAAAGATTCTAAGTGAACGTGTAAATAAGGCACAAAAGAAAATGCAAAAGTAAGGTTTTCATGAGGCACTACCCAAATGACAATATGGTACCGTATTTTCGCGATTTAACGCCGGGCCCCGAATAAACGCCCGGTCTTGGAGGGGAAGTTGTAGATACACCCCCCAGACGTTTATTAATTTTATGGTATAATAAACTAACGGTATAAAGGCAAGATATACGGCTGTCAAGAAAAAGGCATAAAAACTTTTCTATAGTAACAGTAAGCTCGAATAAACTGCAAATTCAAACAAACGCCGGTCCACTAGGTCAAGTTTGATTTAAACGCCGGGGGCGTAAATTGAGAAAATACGGTACTTTCCGCAGAGGCCTGTAAATTTACAACACGAAACCAGTAATGCAATATAAGGCCCTTTTTACATTAAGTAGTGTTTTTAGTGCGTAGGGTTATAATAGAACCTTTCTGAATCTTGAAGTTGAGTGTTTTTGCTCATGCTGAAATGCAAGGACAGTTCCCCCACTATGTTTTTGAAAATCTGTATTATAAAAGAGCTTTGTATGGTTGAAGGCCAGGACAGGTATCCCGTTATCAAATCTTGTTTGAGTGATTTTTAAAAGCTAACCATAGACTTGCTCAAAAATTGCAATGGTCAATATGAATTAAGCGTGAAGGCTGTTTTATGTGGTTGTGCTCTTCATCAGGCATTAGCACTGCTGGCTGGTTGCCTCGTGTAAGGGAATCTAAGACAGTCTTGGACTGGATTCCAGGTACTGAATTTTGGATTCTTTGTCAGTGGAACTTGGATCCATATTCCAATTATTAGGGGGGTTCTGGATTCTGTGAGCTGTATTCCACATTTCAAAGCCCAGGATTAAGGATTTCACAGCAAAGGTTTGGTGAATACCAGATTCCACAAGCAAAAATTTCTCAGATTCCAGAATCTGGATGGGGCAAAACTGGGCATGTGATATGCACCGATCAATTCAACATTTCAACATGTATTTATCCCATTGGCAACCATCGCACATTTGTCGCAAATTTGAACTTTTTGTAGGACAGGCTTGTTCAAATTCTCCCTTAAATTAGGCCAATATAGCTGGTCAAATGCACTTCAATAGAGGCAACTTGACTTCTTTGAAAAACCTGGTATTATGGCAACGACCGTGACTGAAAAAATCCACAACAACTGAACCACAAAAATTACCCACTCTCTTTTCATACATTTCACTTCCAAAATGTTTCATAGCGTCTGAAGTCTTTGTTGAACAAGCCATTCACCTTCAAAAGCTTTGTCTCTCTCCATCTCACTATGAGACAGCCTGCATAGCTGGCAGGATTAGCAGGCAAGTGCGGCGGTTTCTTGGCATTGGCAGGCGCCACGTGAAGATTGGAAGCACGTCTATTCCCTCGCGGCTTCACCTCTTGCTTCAAGTGGCAGCTCGCCAAGAAAGTACCCTGGGCACAAAATCCCGTCAGCTTTGCAGGCTAAGTATGTGAAAGATTTCATCTATCGAATCACGATCTCATCCAGACACCAGATACAAAGAAGTTATATTATCTTGTCACTTTCAGTTCAAATTCCCCACCCTTTGGAATGTCTTTTGCGTCAAATTCCTCATTTCTCGCGCACGAGTGATGATCAAATGCCCAGGGGAGGGGATGTTAAAGCTTTGAATTTAGCAGCGCATAATGTCTGGCAATGAAATAAGTGTCTCTTACATATGGAAGGGGGTACCTAAGGGGCCATTTTTCTAGGAAGGTAAAAAATTGTTATTTTTAAAAATAATTTCCACCAGTGGAGGGCAGAGTAATTATTATTCCTTTTTTTTTTCAAGAAGAATGTGACAAACAATTAGAGGAGCAGATTGAGGGACACCCATTTTGTGAACCTTGGGAGGATAGTGACTTGGTACTCACAGTGGAGGATGATACATTTTATGTCCATCGACAGATCCTTAGTTTACACTCACCGGTGTTTAAAGCGATGCTGAATTCTCAATTTAAAGAAGCCACAGCAACAGTAATCCCATTGCCAGGAAAGAAAGAAAATGAGGTTTTAGATTTCTTGAAGGCGCTTTACCTGAAAGGAACGGCTGAAATAACTTGTAAGTAAGATATCAGTAAAGCAGGGATCAGACTTGGCGCCCGAATACGGTAATTGCTGGGCACTAATGTAAGCACGCCCTTTCTCAAGTACCCACGCTCTGCGAATGCGTGCACCGTGCTAGTGCCCGATTTCAAAATAACGTTTGACATGGCAAAAGGGGGTAACAACGCACATAATTACAGGCTGGTACTCAAGGTGTGAACACAACACCATTTTGTGAGGGTATCCAGGTAGTACTCCTCGGGCACCAAGTGTGGACGGCACCTTAGTTGCCTTAATACAGTCGGATCTTTGCACAATGGCCATCTTTTGATTCACTATTTATAAAGAAGAGAGAATCTCCAGAATAGTCCGTTTTCACGATGACGACATTTGACTACAACTACCAGAATTCATTTCTTTTTTGCTTTCTTAATATTTAAAACTGTGAAAGGTTTAAACCCAGGAGTCTTATTTAAATTTGTCGATCCCGCTGGGGATTAAAAGACAGTAGCCCTTAACTGCACAAGAAAACAAAAAATCTGAAGCGTTCTTGTATTTGTCGTAAAATGACGTCATCGTATCGTGCAATTGGCCTATTAAATAGAGAATCATATAGGAGGAGATGCCGTTATAAGCGCTGGTAGACAGCAGAATGGCCCCCGCCGGTCTCTGATCATTACCCTTCCCGAAAAAGGTAATCTTGAACAGTGCATGAACTGTCGCAAAATCAGTCTAAAATGTCATCCAATCATGCTGAAGGTGCTGTTAAACGGGCTGAAGCCCCAGCCAAAACACAATTATCTCGCAACAACATACAGGCTTCAGAGCAGGACGTAAAGCAACAGGACGGATCTTCAAACTCAGGATATTGAACGAGAGGTACCTCCAACATAATCAAGACCTCGATTACGTCTTTGTTGATTTAAAAATGGCGTTTGACAGAGTGTGGCATAAAGCTCTTTGGTCTTCTAAGAGGCTTTATAAACATTAGCGCAAACCTGATCCAAGTCATAAAGAACCTCTACAACAAGGCCACCACACAGTGCAGTCTGACTTAATGACGACATAGGAGACTGGTTCAGAACCACATTCGAAATCAGACAAGGCTGTCTGCTCTCATCGACTCTTCTCAACATATTTTTGGAGAGAATTATGACTGAGAACAGGAAGATCACAACGGAACAGTCAGCATTCGAGGCGAAAAGTTCAGCAATTTACGTTTTGCCGATGACATTCTGAGCTTGGCATGAAAATAGGAGGAACTAGCCTCTCTAGAGGATCTCCTGAATAAGACCCTGCAGACTTTGGCATGGAAATTAGCGTAGAGTAGATCAGGCAAACTCATGACCAACAATTCAACACAGATGCATCACAACTGAAGTCAGGGTAGAACATTGGACGAGGTTGAAAATTTTAAAGTATCTGGGCGGAGTCGTCACAGATCAAGGTTTCAAGCCTGAAGTACAGTGCACAAATGCACAGACAAGAGCAGCACCAGCGATACTGAAGATCATCCGGAACGACAAGAGTATGTCCTTTAGCTCAAAGATTAGACTCATGCACTCCTTGGTTGTCTCGATGCTCTTGTACGCCTACGAAACCTAGACATTGACAGCGGACATGCGTCCAGAAGAAATTGCAGCCCGCCGAGATAAGGTGCTTTAGGACTGCTTGGCATCTCACACAAAGACCACAAAGCCAACGAGGCATGCAGGGACAGAATCAAGCAAGCTGCTGCTCTGTGGCCCTATGACGACATCTGAACCACGGTAAAGAAACGCCAGTTAAAGTGGTTTGGACATGTATTTAAATCAGCAGTGCTTGCCAAGACAGTTTTACACGGAACAGTGCAAGAAGGGAGAAGAAGAGGAAGATAAAGGAAGAATTGGGAGAGTAATATCTCTGATTGGATGGAGTTAAGAGTTGCGACGCCCGAACAGAATGTGAAAACAAGATCAGATGGAGCGGAAGGGTTGCTAGGTTCGTGAAGTCCTAAAAGGCTTATCGCGGGTGCATCTCTCTCCGCAGGGTGACCATTTTCAATAGATTTTATGGACAACAATTTCATGGACACATCATCTGGTGCGACTGAGGAAAATTGAATGACTTTTAAGTGCTTCAATGCTGTCCGTATTTTAGATCTCCCTCTACGCGCATCTGTTAGTGATAATCTGGCAAAACTGCATTGACAATCCCTATTGTGCAGGAGAGCCGAACTCTGCTCTGCGCCATTTTTAATTTGTGTATTAATCAGTTAATCATGCCTCTCAATATAGCTTAAACGCCTTCGGCTCGGCTGATAACACTTACCTTGAACTTGATTATTTCGGTTATCACTAAAACCTCATCCATCTGATTACTAAAATTGATTTAATTTCCCCAGTAATTTTCTCATGTAGTCGAAGGTTCTACCTGGAGCAGCACTTGACTGCCCTAATGACTATTTCTAACTTATTTAGTTCTCTCGACAAGTGATCAGAATTATTATTCAGGTAGTTCCTACCTGAATAATGCTCGCTTTATTTTTCTGGGTATCTTTGGTTTACATTGATCTGTCTAACATGTCTCTTTTGTCATCTTTATCCAGTGAAAAAAGTGAGACACCTTCTGAAGTTAGCCGACGAGTACCAAACACAGGGCGTGCTTGACCTTTGCGTGAAGTGCCTCAGGGATGTACCAAAATATGAAGACAATGTGGTTACGATTCTGTTCCTGGCAACGGACACAGTGATGGCAAGAAACGACTGCAGGCTTGATGGTGTTCGCAGAGAATGTGAAACCCTTGTTGAGGATATGGAGCTTGCTGATATCACAGGAAAGAGCGATTTTAAGAATTTGAACAGAGATAGCATGGAAAGTGTTTTAGTTAGAAGATCTAAGCGTTTAGAAACGTGTCTTAAGGGGGTTTATCCTCAGTTGGTTGGGTTGGTGGAATATTGTCTATTCATGAAATTAGATAGGTATGCTTCAGGCGAAGTATCTCGTTGTCCCCAACATTTTCCACGGGGTGGGCGAAATGTTAACAAGGCAAACAGAGATCTCGTACAGCGAATAAGGAAATGCTCGGTTTGTAGAGGGATGATTCAACAATTGGTTTCTTCATCTGTTAAAAAGCAATCTACCGCGACGGCCTCAGGTTACGGCTTTCCAGTCCTTTCTCAAAGCCTTGGAGCTGGCTCAAGAGTAACTGCCCCAAAGGAATACCTCTATGGGGGGAGCTACCACTTTGACGAGGAACTGATCACACTCCTCAAGGATATAGACAAATTATATTAATCCTGGAACAATGACACTAACGGTAATGGTAATCTGCACGTTGTAAAAGACCTTGAAAGGGTACGTTGCGATAATCCAAAACACATTTTTAGTATGACTCGTATGGAAATTGGCGGCCAGATTGCCAGGAACCATGGCGGGAAAACAGAGTATGTGCGCGCGCAATCAGGGTCCCTCCCCCCCCTCACCCACCCAACGGTGACGCATGCACAATGCTCTCGTCGATGGAGGTCGTAAAAAGACAATTTCCACGCTAAATTTCTCAAAACCTAGCAGTACGAACTGGGTTCAAATTTTGGAAAATTGTTAGAAAACATAAAGACAAAACCATAAAAAATGTTTCCAAATAGTAAATTATATAAAAAAAGAAGAAATTAAAATTTAAAAAGATAATAAAAATTGTTTGCAAACAAATGTTATAGACGGTTTATTAGTTCTTATAAAAAAAGAGAAAATTCCGCATTATTGGCTTTTGTTTCTTCACAAACAATTATTTCTACCTACCAGACACTCAGCAGAGGTTGAAACGTGTAACTCTCACGTTTGCTTTGTCCGACGCTCGTGAATATCCGTGTTCGCAAGTACCATCATATGAGAAGAAAAGCTAACTGACCAATCAAACTTCGTAAACGACGCGACACTTTCCAGCGCGCGTTCAAAAAATAGGGATCGTAAGCACAGGTGGCCCAAGAGTAATATGAGAGTTTTATGGGAAATAAAGAGTTTGTATGGGAAATTCAGATGGAACAGGTGAACTAAAAGCGATAAACGTCATAAAATATTGTTGCCTGATTTCGTTGTCTTTGTTTTTACGAAGTTTCAGCGAGATTTGAGTACTTTTACATCATCTGATAACTTTTATGGCTTTTAGTTCATTTATTTTATCCAAGTTTCATTTCCCATACAAACTTTCATATTACGCTTGGGCAACCTGTGGCTTAAGCAACATACAACTGCAACGGCAACGTCACTTTCAAAATCATCATCATCATCAATCTTTATTTATACACGAAATCGTATCACTTTTACATGGTCTTCCTAGGAATCGTGTGTAAAATTATACTAAATACTCGAAGTAACTACTTGACTATAAAGTTAAAAATACAAAGACTTACTGATTATGATAAGAGTTACAATGAGTCATAGGGTATTAAGATAATCTTTCCCATGAAATGAAGTTTTGAAAACAGTTAAACTAGGCAGGTTTCTAATCTCTGAGGGAATCTTGTTCCACAGAACAGATCCTCGGTAGGGTAGGCTCCCTTTCGCAGACTCGGTTCTGGGTCTGGGAACATAAAATGAATTCGAATTCCTTCAAACTTTGTCGCGTTTGTTCCAATTCGTTGAAAATCTCAAATGTAGACGAATTTCCCTCATGGATTTGATTTCTTGGGGACCGCATTCAAGTTTAGTAAGAGAAAGACAAATTCGTTGTTGCTTGTTTACGTCCTCCAAAAAAACCGTGAAATTAGACGTTTTCACGTCATAGTAGGTGACGACAAAGAAATGCGCAAAAAAGTGTGATGGACGCTCAAAGCTGTTGTTTTACTAATTAAACTTATTGCAGTTTTGCCGTTTTCGTTACTAAAGCTCCCTGATGGTTGCCAATGGCCGAAACCTTGACGATGGAGATTTCTAATACGATACGCCGGACTACAGCTACTCGAGTGTAACGGCTAGACTTTTGGCCGTTTTACGGCTAACGGTTAACCCCATTGAGACCCTCTTGCAAAACGCAATCTTCAAGAATTTCCAAACAGGTATTTAGAAAAATGAAAATTAATGCGCATGAACGCGAGTTACACGTTTCAAACCTTTGTGCGTTTCTGTACCTACGTAATAAATTCTGAAATAATAAGATGGGATCGTACGGCTAGGTCTTGTGATAAAAGTCTTTAAAATATCCTTTGCTCCAGTCTCCCTATATTTCGCTTAACCCTTGGACGTACACGCAAATTCATACCCCCACCGTGATAGGTATGTTGCAGTATTTCGAAACTATTTTGCCTTCAGTGGAAATCCTTTTAGGTGGTGGCGCTGTTGGAGGCCCCCAGTAATTTTTTTGTGCTTGACATGTAAAATAACACAAATAATCATTTTGTATCATTTCATCCACAATTTTTACTTTTGTTGTTGAAAAGAGTTAAAAAAACATGCATTTTCACTCAAAAATGACTTGATCACCGGCTACTTATGACGTCATATCTCGTAACCATAGTAACTGACCATCGCTAAAATTTTTTCAAAACGTGGCGAGGGATAAACGAACAGCTACTGAAAATGTCAGGTGCTGATTTTTTATCTTCTAGGAAAAAAAATAAAAAAAACTCAGAGGGATGTGGCAACCACCTCACCCCCCCTACTTGTACGTCTGAGGGTTAATCAGTACGAGGCAATAATTTTACGAGCATATCATTTGCAGTGACTATTCAGTAGAGACCTTCAGTTGCTTAAAATGTTTCAATTTGAAAATGCCTTTATTTTTCATCTGAAAACTGTAGTAAGACACCTTAAAAAAAAGTAGGTGCGGCACCGTAAAGAAACCGGGATTGAGCAAGTATTAATGTTTTTACAGTCTCTTTGGTTGAGTTGATGTTTGCTTTGTTTTCACCTTCTTGTGTGGATTGAGTTATACCTGGCTCTTCATTCCAATGCTTGATGATAGTGCCCAGTGCCGCTGAATCATTTCCCATTAACCAATATCATAGCAATACCAATGTCATAGTTCCATCCCCTCCCTAGTGTAGCTACGATATCCGTTGCAGAAGACTAGGTGACAGATTAAGCTTCAGTTAAACTCAAACTCCATTCCCCCTAATAAGCTCTGTTCGTTTTGTCTTGTGTATGTTTATCAAGGGCGTAACTACCTGTAAGCATTACCAATCTACATACTTGCTTAAAAATGTCAAAGATGAATAAAAACAAAAACAAACGGACACAGTGATTGCAAGTGAGGATTCCAGGCCTGATGTTGTTTTGTGATGATTGTGAAATCCTCATTAAAGACACGGTCACCTGGCTTTCATCAGGGCGATTTTGAGAAATTGAACCGAGACAGCGTGGAAAGAGTTTTTGTCAAAAGAACTGAACGTTTAAAAATCTTTAATTATATATATTAAAAAAACAAACAAACAAACAAACAAAGATAGCACGCCCGCTCTGATTGACCGAGAGGTGTGTTTGTATCACTTTGCTAGCAAATTGTTTTCGCAATTGTCGCAAAAGAAATAATTGAGAAAAACTAATGCCAGAAAATCACTTACAAATATCGCAAAAATCGCAAAAATAACAAATCTAACAAGAATGAAGACTTAGAAAAAAAAGAAACCAAGAAGGACCCCGAGATGTCCGCAGATATCGCAAAAATCGCAAAAGTAACAAGGATTTTTGTTGCCGGCTAAAAACACCCATGATAATTATCGCAAAAATCGCAAGAATAACAAATGTAACAACATTCAATTAACAAACTGAAACAAGGACAAAAATATATCGAGACAAAACAACTTATGTATCCAACTAGTTGGTCAAAAATATCGAGACAAAACAACTTTAGCTAGCAAAATGCGATTCAGCCGCCATTGTTTTGGTTTGCAAAGCCGGCGCTTTTCGCTACTTGTAGTCTAGTGGGCTATAACATATAGCCCAGTAGTGGCTCAACCAATCAGAACACAGCATTGATAATAGACCACTAGTTATGATAGAAAGACTGGATAGGAAACTTATGTCACGTGGGCTGATTTCTTATCGCCGATTTTTTGTTTCGTGCTCCAAGATGGCGTTGGATGGTTCGATCATAGTTGAAATTTGTGACGAAACGATGGCGAAAATGTGGCGTAAACCAGTCGAAATGTAGGGTTTGTTTGCCTGCATGTTGTTCTTTTTCGGAGTTTTTAGTGCTACTTTAATTTTTGGTGCATGTTTTCCCCTTCGTTTGCTAACAAAATCATTTTGTCAAGGTTGTTAACTTTGACACTCGCAGAGCTTGTCGACAAAAGCAGAAAAGAAATCGTCAAAACCGTGATAAAAATAATTAAAATTATTTCCGGCTCTCTTGTGGTTTGTAGAAAATAAGGCTGTGCCTTTTTTATAGGTGTTTTGTAGCTGTATACAGTTTTTATGTAGTTAGGCTTCCCGTTTAGTGCACGAAATTATCGGGCGCTGGAGTCATTCTTCGCTCTCACAAGTTTCATAATCATTTACTCCGTCTTTTGCCTCTACTGGTTTTGTACCCTCTCACTGTCTTCTCAAAGAGCAAGTCCTCTTCATCCTTTACTTCAAAACATTACCAATCTGTATAGTCGAAGACAGAGAGAGAGTGAACTATGCGAGGAAAAATAAGACGCGCAAAACATCGGATGTAAGAGGTTGAATGACCCTCGATAATGTGACGTCACATTTTTCCACTATGTTGGAACCGATCACGTCAGCCAGTTTCCTATCCAGTCTTTCTATTATCCATATGGATTTTATGTAGTCTTATAGCGGACCTCACGCGCGTGAAGCGCGCGCAGCGGAGCCCCGTGGGAAAGAAAATGTGGTAAACTACCCATCCGAGAAAGTTTGATAATCAAGTGTCCGTACACCGACCGACCGACCGACCGTCCGTCCGCACCACAAGTATACCAATACAAAATAACTCATTCAACAGGTATGGCAATCCAAATGTAACTCGAAGTTATTTTGACGGAAAATGGTATAGCCACCCGCGTCTTGTGAAGCAGAGACAACTACTGAGAGTCAATAAAGACGAAAACGGAAAGCGGAAATTGTTTTTGAATCCGTGTTTTCTAAAGTATTAAGCTTAGATTAATTGTCATGTCCACAAATTTGGAATATAGAGCAAGAGAAAGACAGAGAAAAAGAGAAAGTAGGTGGCAGACCAGCGAAGCTCAACGAGATAAAGGGCGACAGAGATCTAGAACGAGAGATAAAAAACAAAGAAGACATTTTTTTGTTGGAAGAACAACATGACAATTTTGTAGCGGTGGTGACAAAATGAGAAATGCTAGCGGCCACCAATGCAAGGTGAAAGTGAGCGGCAGTGAAAAAAAAAGGGAACGAGAAAACGTACGACGTTTCAGTCCATAAAACGTGCAACTAAGAAGTTTCTGGGCCCGCTTTCTGAAAGGCTGATTAGCGCTAATCCAGGATTAAAATTTTGTCATGACATTTTGTATTTACCTTCCTATGCATTGCTTAGAGATTGTGTTATTATTTTATGATTTGTTTTTATCGAAGTAAAGGCACAACAGTATTTTGTAAGCTCGAGGTACATGTTCTTAGACAAGAATACCTTGCTTAAAATTTGGCTTAATCCTGGGTTAAACTTAACCAAGTTTCGAGGAACCGGGCCCAGGAAGTTTCACGTTGCAGTCGTGCAAAACAACGGCAAAGAAATGTACAAAAAAAGTGTGCTGCACGTGCAAAGCTCCTTTTTTGCTAATTAGACCTATTGTTGTTTTTCACCGTTCTCCGGCGTTGCCTTCGCCGCTTAGCATTACACGATTTTATATTTTGTTTGAACAAAATGTAAATATTATCGAGAGCTTCGCTTTTAGCCCTGGCTAAATCAATATATTATATGGTATAGGTGGCGTCTTCGACAAAACTGGTTAACCAGCCTTACCACGTGTATAATTTCCTGTAAAACACTTCTCAGAACGAAGAAGTCATTCTAGGAATTGTGTTTAATTTCCCGGAAGTGTATTCAATTCTCGGAAGTGTATTTAATTCAGGGAATTGTCTTCTAATTCCGAGAAGTGTTTTCAACCACTATGATGTACTCAATTCCTGCGAAGCGTTCAGTATTTTGTCCTTAGATACGGTAGGTCACACATTGCTGCAGATACAGTCAATTGGCAACAACTTTGTGGGAACTGGATCTAAGCTAATCGTTTCTTATTCTCTTTTGTTTATTGTCTTGTTTCAGCATTATTAACTTGGAGAGAGATCAGAACTTACAATGGATAATTTATCCAGGTCAGCGTCACCTAAAGCCTCAGCACCAAGTGAAAGCGGAAGCGATGGAGAAACAGGTATGTTTTGATTTGCGTGCCAAGGTAACTGGTAGCAATGTTTTATACTTTGTTGGGAGGGCACTAAAGTTCGAATGAGAAAAAAAATCTTCGTCCAAGTCGGTCCTAAGTCGTTTCTGTCTCAGTATCGTATAGTCTAAGAAAAGAAACACCTGCTCAAAACAAATATCTAACAAAATTTATGGTCAATGGCTCAGCGTGTACTATTGTGTTATAACTGCACGCAGGAGGTTGCTAAACACGAGAGAAGCGTAAGAGTCCGGCCAACTGCGACTCTAGATCGCGATTCTTAAATGCTTAGCAATCTTCCCAAGTCAGGGGCACCCAACGACTGTTTTCTGTTCAGAGAAGCAAATATCGCATAGAATTTTCTATTACTTGAGGACGGCTAAAAATTTCTAGATGACTCATTCATGTACAACTTTCGAAGCGTATCTAATATATTCCCTACGATTTTCTAAAGCTTAATTTTTTACATTTCACTCCTCAGGTTAGGCCATTTTTCGTACTAAAAAAGGAAACCTAAAATTTAGGATTCAAAACTGTGATGAAGAGAGGGATTAGTAAAATTCTCACTTTCGTAATACGTTAAAATTACATCTAAAATTTTCGGTAAGACAAAACTGAAGCCCTTGTAATTTCGAGACTCAAGTTCTTCTAGGATGACCGAACCGATACAAATTTTATAGCTCCGCTTAGAATACATTTCTAGAGCTGTAGAAGAACTCTGGATAGCCTAAAAAGTGTTTTCAGCGTATTTAGGAGGAAACAGTCGTTGGGCGCCCCTGCCAAGTCGGCAACTATAACTCAATAATACACGCTGAGCTGTTTACCATTTGTTTTATATTTTGCTCTCAGATAGCAGGGGAATGACGTGAGTGCGAGTGCTGTAATCTGCTCGCGCTATGGCGAGTGCAAATCATTCTTTACAAATTCTTTTCTTTCGAGAAAAATATTAGTACATCTTTATCGGGAAGTTTAGGAGATAAAGGGCTGTTCAGGTCTGCGAACATACTCCAAACAGCAGATGTCGTCCGTCGAGGTTTCCTCTTGATGTTCTTGCCATGTTTTAGACAATAGTTCGCCGTGAAATGAGTAAAACGTTCTGCCATCACTCGCTGCGAAAACAACTCAAACTTGTCCCCAGGTCTTCTCGGTTAACGGTTGAATAATCTGCAATTTTGCCGCACTTTTGACGTCGTCGGTTGAATATATCAAAATTCTTCCAAATTTGGTCAACAGTAGCTGGTTATGATGAGTTATGCGAGTGATTTTAGCCAATCAGAAACCGGCGGAGAAATATTTTGAACAACTGAACGTTATATATGTGATAATTGATTCATCTTGTTGAGAATTTCTTCAATGCTTCTCGAAGATCTAAAACTTACAGTTCGAACCAAAATCTCAACATTCTGTCACTACAATCACCCTTGCGCTAACTTCCAAAAGTCATACGATACTTATTTTTTGGACGTCTCCAAAAATAAACACTAATCAACGCCCCACCTAGATTGCATAACATCAGTTCTCTGCAATCTTTTCTTCCGGGTCAGTTTCGTGCCGCTAATAAAATCGGAACATGTAAAGGGGCTGTGGCACGGCAGTCCAGTTCATTTTGCTTAATTTTGCCAATTACTCGCCCTCACCGCGCTACGGAACTTAAAGTAAGCAAAGAAATTACACGTAAATGACAAAATCAGAGATCCGAGACAAACAAATATGTACTCCTGAGCATTATTTTTGAAGTTGCAAGCAGCAGGGTCCATCAACTTTGAAGAATTGTTAGGCTGAACAGTTTTCAAAAACCCTAATTTCAATCCTTTTCAATCTTCTTCAGTTTTGCCCATCCGTGGCATCTGTTGTTTCTGTTATGTTATTTTATTTTAACCTTCCTTTAAAGTTTTTAAGCGGTTATTTTTATGTTTCGCTTAATTTAACGGGCATTTTCTAATTTCCTAATTTGGCTGAATTTCGTGACACAGCTCCTTTAAGAACTTGATGTCTAAGTTGGATTTCTCAAATTTTACATTTTAATCGCCTAAATACATGTATAAATACATTTTGTTTAGTTTTAACATCATTATGTAATAATCTCGTGATCTACTGTTAGTGTTAATCATTTTTAACTGTATACATATATTTTTATATAGGTTTTTATGAGAAATCTTCTCTTTCTATTATTATTTCTAGTTTATTTATATATTTTTCGTGGCATGTCTGTAAAGTAGCTAATTAAGTAAGAACATTGACCACGTTAAATAAAGGTTATTGTATTGGTTATTGTATTGCATTGTAGAGAAAGAAGCCGAATGCGTCAAGCAACCAGAGCAACGGATTGAAAAGCATCCATTTTCAGAACCTTGGGAAGATAGTGATTTGGTGCTCGCGGTGGAAGATGAGACATTTTATGTCCATCGACAGATACTGAGTTTACACTCACCAGTGTTTAAAGCAATGCTCAGTTCACAGAAAGAAGGAACGGCCACAGAAATTCCATTAGCAGGAAAAAAGGCAAAAGAGGTTTTGGATTTCCTGAAGGTTCTCTACTTGAAAGAAACAGAAGGCATTACTTGTAAGTAGAGAACGTGCCTTAAAAATACTTAGGAATGTAATGTATGTCCTTGTACTATAGACATTATATATCGCTAAGGTGGTTTGCAATGTATATGATGCAAGCCCAAACAAGCTAAAAAAAGCAAAACAAGCGAGTCAATCTAACATGAACAATGCTTTATTTAATTTAACCTACGAAGCGAGTGATATCCTTAACGTAAACTTATCGTCTGGCGTATCGCTCTAAAGTAGCGAGAACTATTATTAGCAAACCAGTCCTTAGCCAAACCTAAAGGAACTGTAACACAGCGATTACATCGAAAAGACTATACGCAGTGCTGATTCGACGCTTTGCAAACACAACTTCTTGCTTATTCTTTCGCGAACACATACCTAAGCTTCCTAAGGATTAAAACAAAAAAACAGATTGAGTAATCAAAACATTTCACAGTCGAATCGGGCTTCAGGAAAATCTCACCTGGTGCTTAGACGTTTCGCAATTATATGACCTTCACTGTGTTCATTGGACTCAACAAAGCATCCATACGCATTCACTACCAGTTTAAATTTTGAACTGCTTTCTCCGGTGACATTTTAAGTCATATGAAGTCGGCGATATATCTTCCTCCATTTGGAAAAGAATTTAAGTCTTACTGGCCTCTTTGATACTGAAGCCAATCAAAACACTGTGTTTGACAAAAAAATCGTTTCAAAACACATGTACATGTTTTGATGCCAGTTTCCTACGACCGTTTGTTTTTCAGCACTGAAAATTACTCTATATTTATTCTAGAGAAAGAAAGTGACTGTTCATTTTTTTTTGAAAAAGAGAAAAACAAAAAATGGGTCATTTACCTCTCTAGGAGGCTCCAGCCTTAAGGCAAAAGCCAACCATGTTTTAATTTGCGGGTGATAATTTCGCGCGCTTGAACTAACACGTAGTAAGAATGCGCAACGCAGTACTAAAAATCTCCCCGTCCTTCGCCCTTTGTTCTTCTCTTTTTGTTTTTGTTTTCCCTATCTGTCTAACTGTGGTTTTGGTTTCTGTTACTGATTAGTAAACAAAATGGGTCACCTTCTGAAGCTAGCTGATGAGTACGAAGTACAGGGTGTGGTCGATCTCTGCGTCAAGTGCCTCAAAGATGTGCCAAAGTCTGAGGAGAATGTGGTGAAGATTCTATATCTGGCAACAGACACACTAAAAGCTGGTGAGGATTCTAGGCTTGATAGCGTTCGCAGAGATTGCGAAATCCTCGTCAAAGACATGGACCTTGCCAATATCACTGCAAAGGGTGATTTTAAGAATCTGAACCGAGACAGCATGGAAAAAGTTTTTGTTAAGAGAACTGAACGTTTAGAAAGTTTTATTAAGGACGTTCATCCTCAGTTGATTGGGTTAGTGGAATATTGTTTACACCTAAAACTAGAATCGCCTTTTCCTTGTGTAACTCGCTGCCCTCAACACCTGCCACCTGGGAAATCGCTCGGTTCTAGACCTGAACATATTGGTCTTCTTCAGCGGATCAATAGTTGTTTTGGTTGTAGAGATATGATTACACAGTTAGTTTCTTCATCTTACAAACCAGTTCAAACCATAACCCAAGAGGATGCCTCTGAATCCCTCCCTGTCCAGGCTGTCCCAACAGGAGTTGTTAAGGAACACGTGTATGGGGGCGGTTTCCACTTTGACGAGAAATTGATTACACTTCTTCAGGATATAAACAAGATAGTTGACCTCCCTCTTCCCAGATTTGGAACCTCAACTACTAAAACCCCTGCTTCATCCAGTCTGGGGACCACTGCTGCTAGCCTCCCTGCTTCATTCAGTTCGGGGACGTCAACTATCAGCTCCCCTGCTTCATTCAGTTTGAAGACCTCAGCTACCTACGCGGTTCCTACTTTATTCAATTTCGGGACCTCAACTACCCGCTCCCCTCCTTCAACGGTTGCGGTGACCTCAGCTACCATCTCCCCTGCTTTATTCAGTTCGGTGACCTCAACTGACAGCTGCGCTACTTCATTCACCTTTGGGACCCCAACGCCATCTCCTGGCTTTTTTAGCTCAATCGGTTCGCTTAAGGAAGAAGTGGGAAACGACCAAAAACCAAGAGGGAGAAAGGCAAAATGACCCTAAAAATAATGTAGAAGAAATCGGGAGAAGGAGAAGGGAGAAAATATTTTTTTGTTTACTACAATTATCAATATTTGAGATATTTTTTTTCATCCTTTCAAATCACAAACTCTGCCTTAGTTTTAGCTAAGGGTCCTAAAGTTTCCGCCGGTAGGTGCAACTGAAGAGAGATTGTTCTGCGGCCTTCATAGTTAAGCTTGTACAAGTATCTCTTGAAATCATGGCTCTCCTTTTCGATCTGTAGAAAATTATTAGAGGGTCTTTGGAAAATCTCTCGCAGCAATGGTTGGTTTTCTATAAATTGTCGCATTCTAGTGTGGGTACTTGAAAACATGGCCGTGCTTACATTAGTGCCCAGCACGCACTATAATCGTGGGCAATGAGCGCAGGGCAGTGTGAACGCTTCCCTTACCTCACTTCACTGCGCCTTTGTTTTATTCCACAATATATTTCAACTAAAATTCAACTTTAGTATCCAATTGAGACTACTGTAGAGATAAGAATAAGTTTGATGAATTGGGGAAATGAATAATGTAAGATAATAGCTCTCTGGTTGAGATTGATGTCCAAGTCGATAAAGGTAAAGATGGTCGGATTTTAGTGAAGATGATGTTGATAAACTTCCTCAGGAAGGTACTTGGTCGTTTTAATGTACCTGTACAGACATGTGGATGCTAGCAAGTTAGAGGACCTTTCTGGTATCATGATTTCTCTTGATTAAATCAAGGAACAGCTTAGCCTACAAACGTGGAGGTACTGTCCCGGTCGTCGTTTCCCTCCACGTTTTGGGTGGACAGGAGCCACGACCGGAAATGGCTGCGTTCGCAGGGAAGGGATTACTAAAAGGGTGCAAATTTTAATATATAATCATCCCACCATATCACTTGCACATGATTTAGAGTCTGACGAGGACCAGCAATTTACCGTTGAAACTATTGTATGCATCCAAATCACTTGGTGACCTGCCTGCGAATACCTTGCCTCTTAGTTACGCACCGCTACTGAGATAGTGTGAATGAGTGAGTTTTTATACAGATATTCGGCTGCAATAGGCAGTGGGCATCCAACTTTTTTTGCATATTCTTGGTAGATCTTTTAGTTGGGGTCAATTATTTAGCTGTTTCGTCCTCGTTAATAAAATCATGAAAAGTTTTTCGAAAAATTTTGGCGCTTATTTGGCAAACAGAACGCCTCTGCTATCAATTTTTGCCAATAACGATCTGTTATTGGACAATTGATGCAATACTTCAAAATTTGATCAGCCATAGCATGTTATGAAAAACTAGCTAGGAATTTTAAGCTAATCAGAAAAGGCTAAATAATACATATTAAATCGAAGGAAAAAGATTTTTTAGCGTGTCAGAGACGCGAAGTATTGTACACTCGCACCGTTTGTAGTTGAAACAAAAACACACTGCAAGATCTAGAAAAGGTTTATACTTATTGTGTCATTTAACTTATCCTTTACAAATAAACAAACGTAGAACCAATATTGCTCTTTCATATATTCTTTGGCATTTTGTTGCCAATTAAAATTTTGAAAGCTCCCTCAATGATCTGAATGATACGGTGGACACAGGTGAAAACCGCAATTTCGAGTACAAAGACGACAATGTAACAACGCGAATACTTAATTTAAATACAAAAGCTATTGAAAATAAACATTTCATTCATTACCTCAAACGATTTCCGCATTTTTTGTCCGTTTTTTTTTTCGTAATGTCGACATCTAAACACAAGTATCAGTGTTTTTTTATTCTTGTCCAAAGTTTCAGTACTTGTACATTTTTTAAGAATCTATTTGCGTTGATAGTTTCCGATACAAGCTTTCCTCAGTTTGGTCATACATTTTCCTTTTAAATGACCCAGACAAGAAGCCAAAAGAAAAACAGCAGCAAAACAAAACAACATTTTATTCACAGCAACAAGAAGCCGAGAGTGTTTGCCGACGAACCACCGTCAGCCAACAAAACTTTTTTTGGCGCGTTTTCACATAGACTTTGCGCTGATTGGCTAGTTTGCATTGCCTATTGAATTGGACAGTTTGAGTATTTGTAAAGGAAAGCCCTATCTGAAATTATCCAAATTAACCCTTAATTGGAAAGGTTCGTAAAAATTGAAGGATAATAGCTTTGCTGCCAATATCGGATTAACTAACAGCTACATAATTAATTAGCCTGATAACGAGATATTTAGTGGGCCTCGAAACAGATCTGTTTATAAGTGGGGGACTTTTAATGCACCAATGTTTTCTAGTCTGTGCTATATACCTTCTTCGAACAGTACACAGTTTTGCGGTAAACATTGTTTAGATATCAGCATTTAAAAGCCATTCTCAGAGGCTTGGTTCATAATCGTCCTCAGACCTTATAGTAATGCCACGATAAAAAACACTACGAGCCTCAGCGCTCCGGAAGTTAAAAAATTCGTACCGTCTGGTTGCTATGAAGTGACGTAATCATCCAGTTGAGTATCCATCACCGTAACACTTTTGCGGTCAACTACCGCAGCGCTCGTAAAGTACTTTAATTAAAACCGTGTTCAAAACCCTGTAGGAAGTCTGTTTATTTTTGAATCGATTAATGCACTGCTGACTCTCACGAGGTCAACTTTTGCATAAATTATCAAACATTATGTTAAGCGGGAAATCTACCTATGGTTCGCGGGAGAAGCAACTTCTATAGCGGCGCAAGACAAATGTTTCGAGAGTCGAGGATGTGCTCACAAACTATTCACTATGCGACGAAAGGAGAAATCACTGGCATGATAGCTGCATGTAATGGTAATTTTATCAATCCAGGTCGCGCCGTGTTCGCTCGAGAACGCTGTGACAACCTCGTTTGGCGCGCTTCTCAATACTTCCAAAACATGTTGTAATCGGTAAGTAGACTTAAGCACTTAGTATCGCCAAGCCATTCGAATCAGTGTATACCCAATTCTTTGTCTGAAGATTCTCGCAAACACATATACCAAGTAAATCTGGATGGAAGAGGAAATTGTCTCCCTAAACGTAGCCAGATTATATTTTGAAGGATGGCGGCACAATTCAACGCGTCTTCAAGGTCAGCCCTAATTTATAGTTCGTAGGAGTATAAATTGCGATCTCCCTATTAAGCTTTCTTTGATAAAACTTCAGTAGAAACAAAACAACGCAGACATGACATTCTCCTGCATGAGACACAATCGGCTGAAGGAAATATCTGTTTACAAGTCGGGTAAATTATCCATTCTTGCGCACCGCAAAATCAGCTAAAATCAGTCGCTGGAAACCTGGCATATTATTAAGCCTGAGCGCTTCTAAGAATAACACGTTTAGAACCTCGACGCGTAGAAAAAAAAGGCAGTTGTTCTATATCCTTTCTGGTTCATCCAGGTAGAAGTCCTGGCATGATATCATTATGCCTGAGCGCTTCTAGGATATATAACACGTTTAGCATTTCGACCCGTAGCCGTAAAAAAAAATTTAGGCAGTTGTTCTATATCCTTTCTGGTTCACCCAGGTAGAAGTCCTGGCATGATGTTATTATGCCTGAGCGCTTCTAGGATATATAACACGTTTAGCATTTCGACCCGTAGCCGAAAAAAAAAATTAGGCTGTTGTTCTATATCCTTTCTGGTTCACCCAGGTAGAAGTCCTGGCATGATGTTATTATGCCTGAGCGCTTCTGGGATATATAACACGTTTAGCATTTCGATCCGTAGCCGAAAAAAAGAAATTAGGCTGTTGTTCTATATCCTTTCTGGTTCACCCAGGTAGAAGTCCTGGCATGATGTTATTATGCCTGAGCGCTTCTAGGATATATAACACGTTTAGCATTTCGACCCGTAGCCGAAAAAAAAATTAGGCTGTTGTTCTATATCCTTTCTGGCTCACCCAGGTAGAAGTCCTGGCATGATGTTATTATGCCTGAACGCTTCTGGGATATATAACACGTTTAGCATTTCGACCCGTAGCGAAAAAAAAAAAATTAGGCTGTTGTTCTATATCCTTTCTGGTTCACCCAGGTAGAAGTCCTGGCATGATGTTATTATGCCTGAGCGCTTCTAGGATATATAACACGTTTAGCGTTTCGACCCGTAGCCGAAAAAATTAGGCTGTTGTTCTATATCCTTTCTGGTTCACCCAGGTAGAAGTCCTGGCATGATGTTATTATGCCTGAGCGCTTCTAGGATATATAACACGTTTAGCATTTCGACCCGTAGCCGAAAAAAAAATTAGGCTGTTGTTCTATATCCTTTCTGGCTCACCCAGGTAGAAGTCCTGGCATGATGTTATTATGCCTGAACGCTTCTGGGATATATAACACGTTTAGCATTTCGACCCGTAGCCGAAAAAAAAAATTAGGCTGTTGTTCTATATCCTTTCTGGTTCACCCAGGTAGAAGTCCTGGCATGATGTTATTATGCCTGAGCGCTTCTAGGATATATAACACGTTTAGCATTTCGACCCGTAGCCGAAAAAAAAATTAGGCTGTTGTTCTATATCCTTTCTGGTTCACCCAGGTAGAAGTCCTGGCATGATGTTATTATGCCTGAGCGCTTCTAGGATATATAACACGTTTAGCATTTCGACCCGTAGCCGAAAAAAAAATTAGGCTGTTGTTCTATATCCTTTCTGGCTCACCCAGGTAGAAGTCCTGGCATGATGTTATTATGCCTGAGCGCTTCTGGGATATATAACACGTTTAGCATTTCGACCCGTAGCCGAAAAAAAAAATTAGGCT